CTATATTATTACATCACAATAATGTCTCTACATGTAGACCGTTGTTGTTGACGTGTAGAGTGTTACGTAGGTAAACAACAGGACGTAGAATGATAAGATTAACCAGTTTGATTGACAGGTGTCAATATGCCATACATACTTACCCATGATGATGATCTCTTTTATCTATTTAAAAATGCTATAGTTGTAGCACAATATGGTCTCTACATGTAGACCGTTACTGTTGACGTGTAGATGTAAACAACAGGATGTAGAATGATTAGATTAACAGTTGATTGACAGGTAGTTGTGTGTATGTAACTCACCTGTCCCATCTCCATCGCCACGCGTCCGCGCAGACTGCCGTGCAGGTTGAGCTGGTCCAGCATGAGATACATGGAGAAAAACGCCACTAAAAACATGCAGGACCCGAACAACGCCACGTACTTCTTCATTTTCTTCTTCCCAGCGACCGACGAGAAGAGAAAAGCGAGCGGGGAGGGTTGAACAGTCGGGGAGGGCTGCTAGCTTGGCATGTTCGGCGGCGTCCGTTTAGATCGTCTCTAGGCTAACACCGAGCCGGCTTCACAGGTTGCACGGCAAGAACTAGGCGCTACAGCCGCTTAACACGAGTTTTTCCTACGGTAGAAGGACTGATCAACCCGTAAGAGGGGTTCAAACGGGCGGTGACGATCGTAGAAGTGTGATATTGTTGGTGAAATTGACGGCAAATTTCCCCGTCTGCGAACCGAACACTGTATATTTCCGGATCCCGTGGAAGGAGCGCGATTAGAGACGACGTCACTGATTGGTGGGTACCTTTGTTGGAAACGTCATGTCCGGGTCAGCGTACTTTGTTGCACTGCTCGGTTATTCCGCCAGTCAGCGCTGTTGCACTAGCTAAGCCGGTGATATTGTAGCCTCTACCAGGCTTCGGGTTGCGGTTGAAAAGAGTAGAAATCGGCCAAATAGAGAGATAGCATGCCAAGGGAGTTTGGTCCTGGAGAGAACAGCTATCAGGAGCGACAAACTGTTCTCTCCAGGACCAAACTCCCTTGTATCGGCATGCTATCTCTCTATTTGGCCGATTTCTACTCCTTTTAGTCCCCTCCTGAAGCCTGGTAGAGGCTAATATTCTTCTGCAGTTTCCGGGAATGCTGCTATAAATACTAAAGTGATTTCGCTTATTTGTATGGAGGTAAAGCATGCTTATGATGTCAACCTGTATATGGGACAATAACTAGAAAACAACATAGAACGAGTAACACTGATGTATAAATTTAAAATACTAAAACAAATGAACAAATACGTGTATTTTGAATTAATGTCGCTTTAATAAGTTTCTGAACTGTCTTCATGATATAAACGCTTTGATAAAACTTAACCATTAGTGTATCAGTAGAGAAAAAAATAGCAGTTTTACACTTTTCTTCTAATACATTTGTATTTTAATTCACCACTATTATACATCAAACAATCTTTCATCCAATACAAAATAAAAGTGATATTAAAGAATGTATACAACAATTTCATGTCTGCGTCTCGATATTTTACTGATAATTTAACATTTGTTCCAATCGGAGCTTCAGCTGTTAATAGATCCGATTTAATAGCGTGTCAAGATAGTTACACTGTCAAGGAGCCGATTTCCTATCAATAACTGTCCGTCAGCAGGTCCTGCGGCCACAGTACTGGGAAGCAAACCCTGAACCCCTGTATCCACAACTCGCACAAACTCCCCGTGCCGAGTGTACATCTCAACACCCTGCTCTCCTCCATTCGCAACGATGACATCACCAGACCTGGTCACGCAGATTCCAGTCAGAGCGTATACAGAACCAGGCCGCTTACCCTCAAATTCAAACTGAAAACCCGTTGACGATGTAGTGTTGAAGACATACACGAAACGACTACGTTTATTTAAAGCAAAGACGGTCCCTTCTTTGTCCACAGCGACGGATTCAAAACAACCGCTAAGTTCTGTTTGGAACGTGCGCAAAACTGCGCCATCTAGCGGACGCAGAACTACAACAACAGCCCGCCCATTAAGTTGTCCTGTAATGATGATGCGGCTCCTCTCTTTGTCAAAAGCTATCCCACGGAACTCCGAATCTCTCTTGGCGGTCGAGAACCCTAAAACGGGGCAGCCATCTGACGTGTACTGTACGATCCAATACCTATGGGCGTCCGTCTGTCCTAAAACCCATAGATATCCCTCATTGTCCATAGAAATATCATGTACTATTTTCATTGCAATTCTATTGCCTGGAACAAGCGTTGGAAACTGCAGTAAGAGGTCACCAGACATGCTGTAGACTTGGATCAGTCTATGACGTTTGTCTGCCACGAAGATGTTGTTGCTAGGAGACACAGCGATTGCCCCTGGACTATAAAATTCATTAGTCTCTGTACGTCTCAGCCTGAATGTGAACCTATCTTTTACAGGCTGAAGCGTTTCTTTTACATCCTTTGCTGATTGCAGCTGTTGTGAACAATTTGATCCTGTCACTGTTTCTAAGCCCAAACTGTTTTCTACTGTTGGTGGAAAGGTGTGAGTAGTACTTGTCGTGAAAACTGTATCCATTGCCACGGGAGGAGTAGCGTTCTTCGGTTTATTTGAATCTCCCATAGTAACAGACAGGCTTGCAGGCATCTCTGTAGCTGTCGTTTGTGTGAGAAAATGTGTAGTTCCTTGATCCTTGTGATGCCAGCTTTGCGCGCTCAGCAAAATTATGGCTACCGTGATGATCAGCGTTGTTATGGCGATAGTTGTCCTGGCAACGCCACGCGTAGTGACGTGACAGCGTTTGACACAAGAGATACTCTCTTCTGCTTCTCTACCATTCTTCCTAGCTTTACTGTTTTTATCTTGTGCGGCCTGGCTTTCTTCGCGTTGCAGGCTTTCAACGCCTTCCAGAACCACCTGCTGGGGTTCCTCATAGATAAATCCTCGGCCCCTTTTTGGACATTTTCCACGGCCTATTCCTGTTGGAACGTTATCATCCTGTGTGGTTTGGCTGTCCTCGCCATGCAGCACTGCTGGTTGGGGTTCCTCATAGGCACATTCTCGGCCCTCTTGTGGACAGTCTGAGAAATAAGTTTCAGCGGTGGCGCTCCGGCGCCGGCGTACATGTATGTCGTTCAAATCTTGTGGCGGGAAACTAGCACGTTCCGGCTCCTTGTACACATGTTCAGTAATGTTGTTATCGGGGTTGGTGTCGTCCTCTGGTTGAGAGAGCGAAAAGTTAGGAGAAAAATGATATCTGACTTGAAAACTGGCAACCTCTGCTGCTTCTTCGTAAACACGATTGTAGCGCTGATGTTGTGACTGTCCCATGCTCCAACTGGCACGTTGCAAACACGTGCACTGACCAGACAATACGCTGACCTCTGGTTCCATGTATACGTCCTTGGTGCTAACAGACTCGTCCAGTTGACGACAGTCACCTTTGGCTGTTTCTTGACTCGTATAGACTGGTGAGCCGTCAGCAATTTGGCCAGGTGTTGCCATTTTAAAAACACGTGTACACACCTTGTACAACAGTGGCACTAATTTCAAAGCAGATCTTTTGGAATGGTGGCCGCAAGACAGTATCGAATTGGCAAGACAGTATCAAATGGGCAGTGCAGTGTCCATTTAATTGCCAATGCCTGACGTAGAATAAGATACCCGTACAAAGAAGGGATCCTGATAAAAAGGCCTACAACGCGTTAAAAATAAACTGAATACTACTAGTACTAAACCTTTGTTTGGATGAAGAGTATGGAAGTCCCTGCCTGTACCGAGGTACTTATATTATCTGAGGCGTATGTAATTGTCTGGAACTGACGACAATATACAGTCAGTGGACGTCATTAGTTTCCCAGAAAGTCATGCATAGTAAATACTACAGTTGTATTGGGCGCAACAAGTACTAAGTGGACACAGTTTTGATATTGTAGAATACATGTATTGTCTCTGTTTTACATCATGGTTGTACAGTACATCAAAAGCGAAAAGTAACAAATTCTATATGACAATGCGTTTTCTACAAATAAAGCAATCATCACTTATGTAATCCTTATTCTATTACATTACGTAAAATCGATCAAATACATTCAAAAACTGGCTAGAATCTTATAAAATGTATGTACTTTTGAAGGAACCAATCACAAATGTGATTTCATTGGTTCCACTTATTGGTGTTTCCAGTCAGCTGGTCCCAGTCTGGCCAATAGCGTTCCTTCATACGGAAGCTGTAGGCCTGCAGGTTGGGACAGTCCTCCGTAGCGATCCTGTACATGTATGTACCCGGCATGGTCCACAGGATTTGTGCCAAGAAACCAAAGACCGCAGCATCACCCTCGGTCGGTTCATCTCCCATCAGATACGGCTTAGAACCTAAATAATTTGTACAAAACATAATTTATTCATACTAAGCATATTTTAATTATATGTGTGACATCCGCGCGACTGAATTTTCGTCCAAAGGAAAAGTTTTCTACCATGCTGTAAATCGTGCAAAGCAGCTGCATTATGAGCAAATATATGCCGTATATTGAAAAAAAGATTGGAAAATGATACTAATGTCGTAGAATGCCAAAATCAATTACAAAGGCAAAATAAATAAGTAAGTGTGACGAAATTAAAATGAAGAGTCTAGAGTTGGTCTGGTTGAGAGTACGGTTTTTTTTCGCCTCCACCAGACTTCGGGAGCTTAGAAATTGGCCAAATGAAGAGATAATTTGCCAAGGGAATTGGTCCTCCGAATCCAGAGAGCACAGTTTGCCATTCTAGCAAACCAACTCCCCTGGTATGTTCCTATTCGGCCAATTTGTACTCTTTCCAGCAGCCTGGTAGAGGCTAGCTTATGATCATTATGATCATGCAATTATGATCATTATGATCATGCAATTATGATCATTATGATCATGCAATTATGATCATTATTATCATGCAATTATGATCATTATTATCATGCAATTTTTTCCTGCCACAAATATTGGTATGAAAGGTATTGGTTCTTACCCAGAAAGTCCGAGAGAGCTTTGAGATCTTTCTCGACAATGGCTTCCAGCTCCCGGTCGGAGTGACGCCCGATGCCGTGTGCCCACATGTTCTTCTGGATGATTTTGACCGCAGGCTTCAGGTAGAAGTAGAAAATGAACCAGGAAACCTCCCAAAGATCCTGCATCTTGTCCAGGTTATCGATCCATTTACACTTGGCGCCTCCCCTGTACAATAGTAAAAACATCATACATGAAGTGCAAACAACAAACGTTTGTAAAATTCTACATCGTAAAATTCTACATCGTAATAATTCACAACTTCAATTTTTCGACATGTGGAATATACGGCCAGCAGCATTAAAACTGCATCAACGAATGACTATTCAAGACTGTCATTAGACGCTGGACGTTACCGACTTCCCAGCAGCTTTGAACCACTTCTGACGTCAATTTTTTAAGTCACGTGAGTGAAGTTAGTGGGTCAGTTTTCCTGAAGAAGACCGATGCGTCAGTTTAAAATCCGTAAGTTGCTTGCATGTGCAACAGTTTTAACATACCACTCTTTAAAACAACAGACAGACAGACAGACAGACAAACAAACAAACAGGTAAACAAACCAATATGTGTTCTCTTCCAACATTTTCACGAAGGCCCGACTGACGGCCCGGTCGGTATCCAGGAGGGACCGGTCCAGATCCACGCCCTTCTCCTGGTTCAGAAACTCAATAATCAGGTTGGAGTCGCCCAGAGCTTGTCCGTTGTACTCAATCCAAGGCAGTTTTCCCTGTTGTCAGAGAAAATTTAAGTCATCCAATGCAATTTTAGGGCGGCAAAATAGGATTTTCAGAGAACTTTAAGAGTCAACTTTGATTCATGTCACTCTAGATCAATGGATTGGCTTTAAATTTAAGATTTGTAAACTAGAAACTTTAAGGTAACATTTACAAAGCACATCCATAATGTTTACCTTTGCATATCATATGGTCTATTCTTACTCAAACACATTCACACATATGGTCAGACAGGAGTCTAAATCCCCTCTGTTATAAAATTGCACCATGATGTAACCCAATGCAAGTTACCATGGTAACAAACGTTCTGGTTCAGGTCATTGACCTTTTCGGGTTGGAGAAGAAGAAGAGGAAACGTAGCAAAAACAATATGTTTTCCTTCGATAAACATAATGAGAAGGATTGACAAAGATTGAGACTCAGATCGCGATCTCTATCGGTAAAATCACCGATTCTACTAGATCAGAGTCTCTTCCCTGACATACATACCTACCTTCGGCCCCATGGCTATGGGAGGGGAGGGTTCGTACGGAATACCGGCCATCCGCAGGTAAGTCTCCAGCTTCAGTCCGAACGGAGACAGGCATGGAATGGCCCTGACTGGAGGTATCCCGTGGTAGTACACTTTTCCTGGCCATGGGTAAAAAAAATTATAAAAACCGTATTAAGTAAAAACTCCTTCTTTCCAAGGACTAGGGTGAACTCGTTGCCACCAAGCATAGTTGGGGCATCATCACTTAGTAAAAAGCTTTAAAGAACTGCAATTAAATGTGCAAAGATTAGGTCACGGTAACAGGTCGTTCGGCGTAAAGCTAGCTGCCGCCGCGCCGCGTGTCTGCGAAGCTGGTGTGTTACGCCGAAAGACGGTTATACATGTATCGGCTATACAGATACCGATACAGAAGGGGCCCAGCGGTTCTTTTCGAGGGAGCCGGGGACTGTGTATCCTCAAATACCAGGTTTCAGAGGCGGCTGGAAAAGAGCAGAAATTGCCCAAATATAACATGCCAGGGAGTTGGCCATTAATTTACCGCTTCAGCTTGCCTGCAGGTAGAGGCTAGCACATCTGGTGGGGCCCGGGGTATTGCTTCAAGGGTAACTTAAGGGCGTTGACATTTAAGAGCTACTATTCAGGTCATGGCCAAATGGTGGACGTCCCAAAAACGTATGAAAAAAAAAACAACTGTCAGTCTAAACATCCTTACCTGGAGTGAAATCTAGCCCTGAGCTTGACATTCCTGGTTCTATAACCTTCATTAGTACATATCCACAGTAACGTTACCGACACCATCACACAGACACAGGCGGCAGAAACACACAGGACGGCCGGGTCTACTCGGGAAAGCTGGGCGGGGTCAGTCAACAACTCCACAACTGTCTCAAACAAGGCTCCAAGTCCTTCCCAGAGATTTTGAAGAAGTCCAGGCATTCTTGCGAGTTAGCAAAAAGCCTCCCTGGTCGAGGGTAGGGACGAAGAATTTCTTAAAAGGATAAATGTTGACAAGCACAAATGCAAGGTTTACTGCCAGAATGACGTCGCCTTGCGTGCCTGCAATACTGGTATATAACGCTGGAGGGCGCTTTAGCAAGGCCGGTCTATATGGAAATGCAAGATTCAAAGTGTTGTAGACTACTTAAGTTAAAGGCTGCAGAAATATCGGGAGTCTCAGAGTGGTGTTCGGTAAAATGTGTCAATCTCAGGAGATCGAGCAAGCTCTTTGAAATCAAAATAACAATGGAAATTATACTATATGTTCACATGAGAAATGCTGTATTTTGATTGTTTGTGAGAATTCTGTAGCATGAAATATTTGTCAATGTCACATAAAATGTAAAACCAACACTTGAACGTAATATGACAGCAAAATTAATAACACTGTATACTGCTGAATTTATTTTTTTCTTTATTCAAAACTTTGAAAAGATACACGTAAAAAGAACCAGTGTATTGTCAAAACTTCCTGTGTCAAATATTACACCAAAAACTGGTGCAACTTCGTATTCATATATTGCAACACATTCCATCTACTGCAATAGAATCAACAAATGTGTTTCACAAAAAAAACAGAACTTCATTTTGCCAGAAATTTGTTTAACCTTCACCGTACTAAGCATCAGTAAAAGTACGTACTGTTGCTGAACATGTGATAAATGTCTTCAACTAAAAATGATTGTATAATCAAGTGCACTACACATTCTATTCTAGTTCTAGCTCAGGTTGGGTCCTCTCTGATTCCTTTGCTTCATAAGTCTGGTCCTGTTGTCCGTCAAATATTTGGTCTTCCTGCAGTTTTACTGTGAATCACTATATGTTTGTGTTAGCGAAATTTCGCAGCCTGAAAAAAATGAACATGTTGGTGACAGGTGCAGATGTAACAAAGTCAGCAAATTATTTGTTCGCGGTAATGATAAATTTGTGGTACAGAAGTGACCATGATAAGTGTGAAAGGGGGGGGGGTCAACCTTACGAATACTCGTCTCAGCCCAGTTCCCATACCACAACGCAGTTCATGTTTTCTATTTTCCACTTTTCAAATCTGAAATGATTCCAAGTAAGCACTTATTTTTTTAACAGGTTTTAACATCATGCTGCCCCGACGGCTGACTAAGCTATGGGAGAGAGAAGAGAAGAAGAGAAGAAGTTTGCAAAAAGGAATTCATTGCCAAACTAATGTCTTGCGTTAATTTGTTAAACCCAACTTTGGAAGAGCAAATTTTCTTCCCAAAGAAAAATATTTGAAACCAACACTAGTACACAACTCTATCTAGATTACATTTTTGTGCGTACTACCTATGTGATGACAGGAATTCTAGCCATGACTATAGAGGTAGTGTTGATCACTATATACATTGTAAATGGTGTAACAACTGTACTACTAACAACATTCAACCACAGGCTGACTACAAGAAATAATAGCTAGTCGGGATGAAAATGAACTAAGCAAAGAAACAACATTTTGTTATGATGAAATTTGATATGCAAAAAGTAACTCACCCTGAATAAAAGTAACCAGATGAGCTTTCATGTTAACATTTTGCTATTTCTACCAACTACTATCATAGCTTTCATTGCAAGTTAAAATCTGTTTATAACTGAGATAAAAAAAAATTAAAAATAAACAAACAATTGCCAACATACATCATATATACAGGTAACTTCATGAGACTAAAATCATTTGTCTTAACCAAACATCCAACAGTCTTCTATAAGCTGGTTTACTGTTTGAAATGGGCATGCACAGTAGCACGTCGGCAGAACGTACTGCACCTGCGCGAAACCCGTAATGTATTGTACATAGCACTTTGGCAGAATGTCTCATATAAGGTTGTATTCGCTCATATAAGGTTAGCATTTCGACAGTAGTTTCCAAATGTTGTGTCGGAAAGAATATCCTCTGCAACAGGCAAAATTCTGATGCAATGTTGACCAAAAACCCAATGAAAAACGCAAAAATACGTGGTTCTGCGCAGGCGCAGTACGTTCTGCCGACGTGCTATGCACAGTGACTGTGATGAATTGCAGGTCTTCTGTCAAAGCTGATGGCCTCTAAAACAAAACACATCTGGACATGTATCAAACATGGACTACACAAGAACTATTTACAGATTAGAGGCCTTCACTTTTAAACTCCTACATGTGCAGTTCAAACTGTTAAGAAGCTCATTGTAAAACATTTTACTGTTATCATTGCTATGTAAAAATGTACGTATCCCTGCACCAAAAAAAGAAGACTTAAAAATTCCTCTTTTTCTAATCCAAGCACTACTTCTAGTTCTATTTTTTCTTCTTGTTCCCTTTCAGGACACCTAGAAGCTTCTGGAAAGTGCCTTTCAGTTCTGTCAAGTTCTCCTTTTCCACAAAGGGAGTGATTCCGTCTGCGAACTTGCTCCTGTGTGGAAGTCCCTTTGGTGAGAAATAGTCCTCAGGCATATCCTGACTGCTGTCTTTGTCCGAACTTAGGCTGGCGTTCTCTGTGACGTCATCTTTAACATCGGGTGAGTCGCTAGTTTGTTCCAAACTCTCTGAATCGATCACTACCCAGTCTTCCATTCCCGTATCAGAGTCTTGACTGTCCACATCTTTTCTTCCTATTGTCCTTTCTATGATTTCATCTCTGTTTTCTACGTTGGAGTTTGTGTCATTGTCGCTTTCTTTACACGGGAGGGGTTTCTCTGTTCCTTCGCTCTCGGATGCGCTCGAGTCATTGGTTGGTTCACGTGGTGGCGTGGCGGTTTCTGACGTTGGGGGAAGCGGAGGTTGGAAGATTCCATCTTTAGGAGGAGGGGGAACCACCTCCTTGATGCAGTTGTCTTCGGTGCCAGAGGTGTCGACGTCCATGTCAGATTCCTCACGCTTCTGTCGCTTGGAGCAGCGCGGGGTGTCGTCCTCCGCGGCACGTTTGGTTCCTCCCGACGACGGTTCGAGGTAAGAAACCAGAACTTCACGCTGCTGGTGAGGCTGCATGGGTAGTCCTGAAGGAAGGAGATTGATCGCCATTAAAATGTTGCATAATTTAAACCTTTCAAACTAAAAGGAATCTATTTGTGGCATGTTAGTGACAAAAACAGTGAGTCTGGTTGATTAAGTAGAGAGTTTGAAGATTTGCTCTTTAGGAAGCTAAACTGAATCAAGATCACCAATTTCCTTTCTCTCCTTTTTGAAAAAAAAATCTTAAACTACATATCCAGACTCATTTGAGCACAATTGGTAAAACTGGTGACAAAGTTATTTTTGCATGTCCTGCGAGAAATATAGAAATATGTGTACACATGTATATACAACTCACCAATTCTGTGTCCCATGTCGTCTATCCCCTCTGGGACCGGCACATTGAACCCTGGGTACGCCACAATCTTATTGGTGTTGTAGGTCGGCTTCTTGTCATCACCAGTGTCAAGCTGGGAAAATATTAAAATTACACATGTAACTTACAAGTGTGTCACCATCACTGTCTGAAGTACTCTTTGAAATGGACCAATGTTGATACTGAATCAGTATCAACATTGGTGTAACAGCTGGTGTGTTACGCCGAAAGGCAGTTATACCAGCTATACACATACAGATACAGAATTAGGTTTTCTGACATTCTATTTACTTAATCTTATACGGTGCACCCAATTTTTTAGGTTGGGGGCACCAGTGCACCTATTTCCGAAAATGAATTTCTGATGTTTCCAAGTTTATTTATAATGCTAGACTTGTGTTTGTTATTACCTCCCCATCCTCCACTTCCTCCCCTTCTTCATTGACTTTCTTGCCAGTCTTACTGTACAGACTCAGACCTGAGGTGGTCTCCTCTGCTTCAGCCAGCCAGCCAGGAGGGTAGCCTACAATACAAACATTACATGTTCAAATCAAATACAAAACTCAGAAACAGCTGGGAAATTTTCCCAGTACAATGAGACTAACGTACATATCGACTGTCTTCTCTCAGAAGTCACAACCAATGGAAGAGTAGTGTAACCGAGGTGGTATTCACCGGGTTCTTTTAGGATGCTGCACGGGAGACTAACTACAGGGCTAGCAAGAACACACACAGGGCACAGGCATTGCCGTCACACACGCACGGGAGACGATGGGCTGGGACAGTCTCTTCTGTGCAACCTTCTCGCTAGCTGTCTCTGTCTCAGACTGTCTCCTAGACTGTTCTCCCAACCCACCGAACACCCAGCTTTTATTGTCAAACCACAGACAGGACACATATTGCAATGCAGACAGTCGTCTAGCAAGGGGAACAACACAATATTTCGCACCCATACGACATGTCCTTGATGTTCCTATCATCAAAGCCTCGAATTAGCATAACCAGATTACCATACTGGTCACAAAAACTACAAAGACGATGGCCCATTACATTATACATAAATGTGTCATTTTCAACCCCTTACAGTAGCTCAAGTGTTCATTTTCATTTGAGTATAATCAGGATCTCTTTTACTTTCACAGAACTATATTATAATGCTCAATGAATGGATTGTATGGCTGCAGATTTCAAATTATACAATAAAAAAGTTAACCTTCTCCCTGCTACCTAGCCCTGACACCTGTAGAAAAGTTGGTACCAAAGGGCAGCCATAGCAGGGAGAAGGTTAAGTAGCTCTTACCAGTGTTAGTACAGTAGTAAGATGCATTGCAGTTAATACTAGTATGTCAAAGTTGTATATTACAAGGGGCCTTTCACAAATGCACATGCACACTTTAAACTGTAAAGAAGCTTATTATACAGACCCAGTTTTCTCATCTGGTATATGAAGGGAGGCAGCTGATGACTGGTCACTCCTAGAGCCTTCATCAGGTCAGGACTGACCACACCCGGCTTGAACTTGGTGAACTTGGGGTCCAGGTCGGCATGGTAACGATTCCCACTGAAAATACAAGATTCTGAGTCAGAACCAAGAACAGTCAAGTGTCTCTACATGTACAGGTAGCAAGCAAGTGGTAGAGAGACAAAAAGCAGTAACTCTTTGGACAAAATGTTTGAATAGATTTCAGCAGTTTCTAGATTTCTTCTAGGTATTTCTTTTTTTATCCATCTATGCAGCAGGGTTACCTTTCATCAAATATTACTGGTAGACAGCATACCTAACATTATGAATACAATGATTTTTTTCTCTGTCTCTAAAATTGCAAAAATCTTTGCTTGTGGACAAATTTTGTCCCATTTACTGAAGGAAAAATTGCCTCTGAAAAAGAATATTCAGAGCCAGAGGTTTTGAAATTCAGATGTCATCTTGAAAATTTCATAGCCTTACCAATGGTCAATGAAAAAAGAAGGCTAGGTATGCAGGTTTTTGCTAGGGTTGGTGGGGAAACCAGAAACACAACATTATTTTTCTGGAGTCCTAGGTCAGCTGCACTGGTCCATGAAGAGTTTCCTGTTCTGACTGTATCTAATTTAACCTTAGTGAGTGAGTGAGTGAGTTATCCATACCGAGATAGGCATTAGGCATTAGATAAATTGATTACAAGGCTAGCTAGCAGACAGAAGGTTAATTTTCCATACCTTGGAGTCCTGGGTGAGCCGCACTGGTCCATGAAGAGTTTCCTGTTCTGACTGATCCTCCTGTGGTCGCGAGGCTGGGTACAGTCCCTGACGGCATGGTCCCCTCCACAGTTAAAACAAGACGGCTTGTCCTTCTTTTTACCCACCTTAACACTGTCCTGGCCGTCAGAGGACAGCGCATCAAAGTAAATCTAGGACATACAAAAAAAGAGAAGACTTTTAGGAAACAAAATTGAGAGAAGATTATAAGAATTCATCAGGTTTTTGCCCCATCAGCCTTTATATAATATGCTAAAACAATGAGTTTTTTTCAGTGGTATGTTTAAACTACACTAGTAATCGTCAAATTATGGTCACATCTAAAGTGTTACCATCATCTTAAATTAGACCTGGTACCTATTGACCAACTACAATTGTAAAGTGAGATTACATGGTGAGAAATTACACAAATCTAGAAAATACAAAAAAAAAAAAGTTATCAGGGGAATGAATGCCTTTCAGCATCCATACCTGATAAAATACATGTACATGCATGCATCAGCAAGTTAGTACATGTGTATAGCTGCACTTACAAAATAATTCATATGTAGTAGCCAACAACTGATCATAAATTCATAATTACCTGTTCATACGTAGGGATGTCCCATCCTTCAGAAATCTTGGCATCTCCGTCAATGAGAGGTTGTCCCAGGTGGTCCACACAGTAGCTCTGATAGAACTGTACACTCCCCGTCACTGTGTACAACTGTCTCACCTCACGTGACTCCACACTTTCACTTTCAGTCGCCCCCCTCCCCAACTGAAGCGCGAAGGAAGACCTCTGCGGCGGCGGATGCACCACAGCCTGATCTATCTTGTCATTCTTACGCTCAGACTCCTTCTGCATCAAGTGTAGGAAGAACTGTTCTACATCCTGCCTGTATTTTGTGGCGATAGCGTTGTTCATGAACAAAACTTGCACGGAGGGTCCGTCCACAGTTTCCGAAACCGACTCGGAGACCGGTGCGGAAAGTACCCGAAGTTTCCGCTTCAAGGCGTCGTTTTCTTCGCACACTGCGTTGATCTCCTTCTGCAGCTCGCCGAGAGCGTCTGCGGGGATAAGGTCTCCGCCATTCTCTTCGTCTTCTTCCCGCTCAAATTCTTCAAAAAGTGCGTCGCTGGCGAAAATATTTTCCTCGCTGTCCGCCATGTTGAATGAGGATGTCATCAAAGTGTGTGTATGTGTGAAACGTCATAATTTTTGTGATAGTACGTCATAATTTTTGTGTTCTCACCTTTGACCCACCTGCGCAGTAGAGCTGCGCGGCGACCGTTGCTACGAACAACAACCTGTGAAGCAACAGAGACGTCTGGAGGGTTCTAAGACATTTCCACACTTTTAAGACATCACAGGACAATCTACAAGGTAAGATACTGTCATAATACTTCTTGGAAGTGATGCTTAAGTACTATACACGTCTGTGACTGTGTTTCTTAAACCTAGAGATGTTTATTCATTCGTTGGTACATGCCTATCAAATTGCAGTGTTTTCACATCTTTAGAGTGCAACTTTATAATAACAGATCAGAGAAAGTTCAAAACGTAGCCTATTTAATGGATTTTCTCTTTTTCTGAAGATGTTGAATTAAGGTTCATCTTATGTATTAATAATACATAAGATGAACCTTAATTCAACATCTTCAGAAAAAGAGAAAATCCATATATGACTCCCTTCATAACTATACTAACCTTTATACTGTAAAATTCATTTAATTTCACAGTGGTTTTCACAACAATTCTATAGTACTTACTAATAGGTACTTTGGCAATCCATATTCGCATATGAAAATAAGGCCACAGTGAATATTTGAAGTCTTACAGTACTATAATAGCATGTCACGAAATCCATATCATTCCAAATATGTAATCAGCTTTTCATTCCATCAGTCTATAGCTACTTAACAGCCAATCTAACATCAATTATTCATAGTACAGTAATCTTTAGAATGTGTACTCTACAGGTGGCACATTGTTACATATAGCCCTATCTCATTACCAGTAAACCACCTCACAACACAGTTCTGTTATTGGAACGTATAAAAAACAGGACTTTTGGTCTGTCATCTACCCTTATCAATATCAGTAAGTGTGGTGGGTTCTTTTTAATGCTGCATAACACAGTAACCAATACGAATTTGATGCCAAATGTTGACCTAAATACATCTAAGGCTTATAATAACTGAGCTCTTTTCTGTTTACCTTAGACTATTATAGGCATAGCTGTTTTGACTTCGCACAGTTTGTAGGGATTTTGAATTCACACGTTATTCCTGAAATTCTGTACCACTAAACTATAAGATGCTAGTGATATACAGAGCAATCAAAAGTATGTCCAGACAAATTTCCTTCTGATTTGAAAGGAGTTTGCTGTAAATGTAAATATTATAATATTATATTTCATACTTTTCTACCCACAGAGGTACCACCATGCCGCAGCCTGATGAGCCCATGTACAGTTCTCAGCAGATCAACATCCCCCCTGAACTCCCAGATATCCTTAAACAGTTCACCAAGGCCGCCATCAGGACACAGCCCAAGGATGTGCTACAGTGGTCTGCTGCGTACGTATAAGATTGGACTATGTATTAAGGTTTTCTGGGAATTTCACATTTCTAAAATCAGATATACATAGGGCTCTACCCAGCACCCATTTTTCCATCAATTGCAAGAACTTTGTGGCGTGTGACAGAAAAAGATTTAAACCAATCCAACAAATTGACAAGAATCTTGGGAAAAAAATATAAGAACATCCAAAGGATCACCAACAACCCCTCTCAACCCCATAATTTGCCTCTCAAAATGCGGAAAATTGTGTTTTCTTAAAAGAACTAATGAAAATCCAAAATTTGCCCCCAGACCTCCTAGCTATAGATTGTGAGCACTTTCCCCCCAGGTCCAGTCAAGAAATAATAATTCATAATATGGTTATAATAATTTAAGTAATAAACACTTAAAAAGTTCCATTTGTTACATGTGTAATGATACCTGTTTGTGTTTTAATTTCGTAGGTATTTTCGTGCACTCTCCAATGGAGAGACCCTGCCAGTAAAGGAGAGACTAGAGATGCCCACAGCCACACAGAAGACAGACACAGGACTCACACCTGGTCTCCTGAAGGTCTTACACAAACAGGTATTTAATGCTATCATGAAAGTTCATCTGTGTTGGTAGTTACATGTTTAAAGTTAAAACTTTTGGTCCAACACAAAAAGTTCTCTCACCTAGAGTCACACTTCAGAGAAGCCACGTGACAAGCTTCACTGGGTCAGTCTACTGAGGAAGACCAGATTGACTGGTCGAAAGCTCTAGGTGAGAGAACTTTTTGTGTTGGACCAAAAGTTTTAACTTTAAACAGGTATTTAATGCATTAATTGGTGCTTATAACTTTATATGTAGCAAGGTATATGTTATATAGAGGTAACCCTAGCTAGACCAGCATACACATGTGTAAACTCAATTGGACAGTCGTCCTAGTGGTAGCTTTACTAGCACCTTTTTAACTTGACAATTTGCCACTTTTAAAGTGATTTCCATTAATTTTACTATGATAAATAACAGATGAATACAGTGTATACATACCAGTACATGTTGATGTGGTTGTCTGTATGACATACTGTTATTGACCTTGACTATTTGCCCCCCTCCCCCCACAGTTGAGCCCCCAGGGTACAGTGCAGTTGTCTGCCCTGGAGCAGAAGTGGAAGGAGTTATGCCTGCCCCAGGAACAGATGGATGAGATCATGAAGGTCGGAACCTTCTCCGACAACATCGAGTGGATCAAGTTCTTCGCCCTGGCCTGCTCTTCTCTTGCTGGGGTGGGTATCAGGAACTTCTATGAGAGACCATATCAGGAACTTTTATGAGAGACCCAAACCATTTGTTTTGCAAATGTTACCTCCTAGATTTTGTATTTCACTCATATTACGTCTGTGTACAGTGGTTTTGTTTTCAGTGTCTGTGTGTTTGTTTTTCTGTAGTCATTTTGCATGCTAGGCATGTCCCTGTCACGGACACTGACAGGAAGTTAGGTCAAAGGTCCCAGAAAAGGTTATCTCATTTCCTGTCTTAAATACCCTGCTATAATTCATGTCTCTTGCAAAAAAAATGAAGACAAACTCAGCAAGAAATTAAAAATATTGAATAAAAGAAATTCACAGACTCTAGATATTTTATGAAGGCATGAGATCTAAAAGTATGTTTGTTTCTTTATTCAATAGAACATCACACAGGCTATGAAGATTGTGTGTGAGATCCTGACCTCTGACCCTGAGGGTGGGGCGGCGCGAATCGACTTCAACACGTTCAAGGAGCTGTACACGTACCTGGCACAGATCGACGGGGAGATCGGTCAGGTGCACATCGATGGTGTCTTGTCGTATCTTCAGTACGATGTGTAAGTAGCCATTATGTTTACCGAAGGAAAAAAAAAATTGTTTTTGCTCTGTTTCATCTTCTCCAAACACTGAAGGTCAATGACTTGGGCCAGACTGTCTGTTACCATGGTAACTAGTGTTGGGTTACATCATGTTGCAATTTTATCGCAGATTTAGACTCCTGTCTGACCATATATATGAATGTGTTTGAGTAACAATAAACAGGGCAGACCATATGCGAAGGCTTTGCAAATGTTACCATAAGTTTCTAGTTGTTATTTCTTTACATCAAAAAACCTTTTGCAGGAAAATGATTGATACCTGGATATAAAAATGGTTAAAGAAAAGCTGCAGTTCCATAACACCTTTTTTCACAGGCTTACCCCTACATAGCATTAACTTCATGTGCATGACTATCTGACAATATCAATAATATTGTCTCTGACTATAACGTAACGTATAAGAAAGTTGCATGTACCAAACACGGTCTAGACAAGTATTTACACCTGTACATAACAATTCTTCTGTTGTTTTCTTACAGTGACAAACAAGAAGGAATGGTCATGCCCAGAAACTTTCTCAGCCAAGACTGTCCAAAACTCGGCAACTGAGCAGAAATAACAACTAACTGTAACAAAATAAAATAGTATATGATTGATTTGTACATAACCCACACATGAAGATACATTTTAGTCATTATACATGTAACAAACACATGGAACAAACATAAACACTGTAAAGTATGCACTTTTTCTTTATTTTTCTTTAGGAAAATGTGTACATTATCAAGTTCTTTACATTGTGTAAATGAGTGTTTGTGTCTTAGAATCAAAACCCATTGCTGAAATGTTTTCTAAGTGAACAATGAAAATTGTGAGACATACAGTATTTGGCATAAGACAGTACCCCATTGATAGTACTTTTATTATCTATTTTTGGTTGGAAATTATTATCATATTCACCTATACTGTAAGATGGTGATTATTTTGACTGGATATACTAGACGTTCATATCTGGTGTGATTTTGAGTAATTTAATTGTAGACTGTATATTTCCTGTCGAGTGTATAATAACAATGTAATGTTTTAGTATGTACAAAGCTGTGATTTTCATCATAGTAGTTCTTTAGATACATTCCATGTTAACATTGATAATTTGTGGGATTAAAGAGTACACAGAAAATAAAAAATAACAGCCTCTTTTCTCATGTCTATCTTGAAATACTACTAATCTTAAATGTTAATATGCAGCTTACACAATATTATCTTTTTCACAAAAGATGGGGAAAACTTTGCTAAACTAGTGGTTTGTTTTGTCAAAAGTCTTTTTTGTTTGAGCCTAAAATATTTGGCTATTAAAATGTGGTTTAGTGTTCAGATGGAATGCAATTTTCAAACTTTGATAACCTAAACTCTGCCCAAAAATACAAAAAATAAGTATGAAGAAGGCTTCATTTTACTTTACACTATGTACAATTTTTACTAAACTTACAAGAAAGAAATACATGTACCTTAAACTTTTTAAGAAAACATTTTCAAAAATCAAACTAAAATGTGTGATTGTGACAGTCTCTCCCTTACAATTTCAAAGAAGTTCATTTGATGAAAACGTTGTAATAAAAATTGTCTACTTAAAATGACGATTCACTTCCACTGCCAATATCAAGTGCAGGAGGTGATGATACTACTCGGAATGGCTCCGGAGATTCCGATGCTGGATCCCCTCCCTCCGATAATGACAGTACTTCTTGAATACTGCTGTCTACACTTGCTGGTGACTTTGACTTTGTGAAAGTGCCTGATTTTTCAGATTTCACTAACTGTGTCTTTATCGATGATGCGTATGATTTTGCTGACTTTTCCGATTTCTCTGATTTCGGATCTTCTTCTTGACTTGATGACTTCTTTGGTAAGGGCTGAGCAGACAATTTTTTCCTTCGTGATCCAGACGATTTTGAAGATGATCGTGATTTCTCAGATCCTGACCTTGAACGGTTGGATTTGACCTCTGAGGGTCTGATGTCAGGAGGGGGGGACGGAGCATCTCCACGGCCTAAATCTTCCATAACAGGCGTGCTGATTTGCTCTTTGATTTCCCCAACAGTTACTGGTTGTGGAGCAGCAAGTGTATGTGGAGGACCAGTCTAGAAAGAAACAACAAATGGATATTAACAAAACTCAGGCATGTACAAATTATATGGACAATATCAAAGTATGTAAACTTACCCATTGATGTTGATCATCAAATTTGTGACATCAAATTTGTTACGGTTTGCATAAGGAAGCAATATGTTCTAGAGGGTTCTATAACACAAAATGGTAAAAGACAAAAAACACTTTTTCTGTACCACATCAGAGCCTGTTATACTATATATACAAATGTACTATACTTATAGGGATTATATATTCCAACCTAGAACCTCTAGATTCTATTTGAACTACCCATCCACAAGGCCACATGATGCCACATACAATGTACAAACTACTATATCCTTAGCTTCTTAAACATGAAAACAAGTTTTTGAAAATATAACAGCCAATCAACAGTACCGGTTCAACTGCAGGCATCTCCTCTGTCTCCTCCTGATGAGAGGAAGGCTCTGGTTGGCCGATGTGGATGGGGGCGGGGGAGGGAGTATCAAAGTCCTCAGCGATGTCCACATCTCTGGAGTAGTCACTGTCAGGAATGATGGAACAGTTCTCTAATCAGATAATTCATTAAATGATTACTTCATTTATATCAAATTATGGAAAAAAAATTGAACTTCTGGCTGAGCTGTATACTAGTAGATAGAAGTTTTCTGGTGGAAGAAATTTTTCATACATACTTGCAGTAGCAAAAGTCCATGGTATGAGAAAAATGGACATGTTTGCAGAATATAAAAAGAAAGTCTGTGAATTGTTTGTTCAAGTTAATAATAATTTTGTGGTACAGAAATGACCACAAAAACCACAAATATAAAAGTACCGCAAAAAAAAATCATGATTTACATACAGTACAGGAGAAAATACTTTGAGCCCTGAACAGTAGAGTCTAAACTGTCAAAACTGGAAAAGAAAGACAGCTCCTTGCATGTTCAACTCACCTGTATGTTGGATATCCAGCCCGTCTATCGGACTCGTACACACCCGTAGCAGCGTAGGAAGGGGGGCGGGTCGCGTGCGATGTTGTAGTCGGGACGTGCATTGTGGTCCGCGGCTGGAACCTCATGCTCTCCAGGTTGAGCTGTGATTGGTCGATCCCAGCCAATGACGCCAGGTCTCCAAGTCTACACATATAAAAAACACATAAAATCTGTTGCTATCACTTCTTTCAAATAATAACTAAAATAATATTGGAGAAATGATTCTGATTGGTTGACACTTGCTACCTATGCCTCCGAATCATGCCGTACTAGATACAGATTAAAAATGTTAGCAATCTACTGGCAAAGTTTTGAGTTGGCAAAACATGTATTTGAAGACTGTACCTTCTCAATGTTCTTTGCTACATAACCAAAGAATTCTACCTTTAAATCACTCTATATTTGTGGCAGAAAAAGTCTGAGGTCTAAGAAAAATGAACATCTTCATGGAACTATATGTTCGTGGTGGCAGCAAAAAGAAAGTTGGCAAATTATTTCTTAGTGGTAATGATAAATCCATGGTACAGAAGTAACCGCAAAAACCGCAAATATAAAAGTACCACAAATATAAAGTGATTTACAGTATCAGCTCCCTTCCTTGACTTAGTGGCAAGGATCCTAAAAAGTAAAGCAACTGCAATTAAATTAAATCAAATGATTGACAGTTAAGCTTGGTTCTTACCCGCTCTCCTTGAGCAGATCTAAGAAGGAGTAGAACCTCTGGAAGGTTGCCTCGATACTCTCCAGGACGCGATCGTCCTCCAGTAGACTTCGGCGCTCCCGGTCCCGCAGGTCATCCACCTCCCGGCGCAGTCGGCTGTTCTCTATCTGCAGCTGTCAAGGAGTCCAAATATGTTAACAGTTACAACAGTGCCAACACAAAAATTAAATGTTCTCACCTAGACTCTGGTCTTCCTCAGTAGACTGACCCAGAGAGGCTTGTCACGCGGCTTCTCTGAAGTGTGACGTCAACACTGGGTCAAATGTATCTTCTTTCTCTGCTTAGCACTCAGCACAAAAGGAGAAAGAGTCTGATCTTCTGAGATCTTCCTGAGTATTTATTTCAGTGTGATATCTTTGCTGCTAAAGCTTGTCAGACTACAATGCACATTTGCACCAACCTCCAGCAGTCTCCTGTCAGATTCACTCCTTGCCCTGGTCTCCTGAGCCAGTCTCCTCCTGCAGTCCTCTAGCTCCACCTAGCAGAATTTGGGAGAAGTGCAGTTTGATTAAAATACAAGCTTAGAGTGCTCACATCTGTCAATGTGTGCAACCAAAGGAGTTTCAACATTCGAAGCAAACACATCTTCTTTTTACAAACCACAACCTGGCCTTTAAACCAAGCTTGCTTTAACTTTTAACTTTGGTTTTTAACCTCCTTGCTTAAACTTAAATAAAGAAATCATTGGGTACATGTGTACACATTTGTTCTAAACAATTGTTAGGAAAAGAAATATTTGGACTACCTCCAAGCGTCGGTGTACTTCAGGCTCGACGGGTTTGTCTCCGAGGATGTCTTCTTCCTTTTCTAACCTCCCGACTAAAGTCTCCGGTTCCAGCCGGCTTGAGCTGGAACTTTCTGACTCGCTCTCGACTACCACCTGCGGGGATAGGCCTGGAACCGGGCTATGTCTCTGTACAGGGATACAAAAATATCAGACACCAGGTAAACTTTAAAGAAATAAAAAGACATTCAATGTACAAATCACATTTCAATACATTATGTTTATCAGAAACCAGAACAAAATCATTTTTCTAGCAACATCACTTTTATACAGTACTGTAGTGTCTCATTAAGTTGTTACATGTATGTCCAAAAATATACCAGTAAGAAAAACTAAAAGTACCTCTTCCTTTGTGACAACAGACGGTGTCCCTGGTCTTCTCTCCGGTGGAAACCCTCTGTACCTCCCTAGTCTGGCAGCAGTCCTCCATGGTACAAACCCCTGGGTACCAGGCTGGATGTTGTCTGGTACATAAGGCTGGCTGGCTTCTTCAACTGAACCTACAGACCTGGACCTAACACAGAAATACAGAGTACATACTTGGTTATACTATCACTATAAAAACACACTAATATTTACAGAATCTGATTCTGTTTTTAAAGTGGCTAGACAGTAGAAAATCCAAAGATTACACAAGTTCGAAGAACCACTAAGCAATTACAGGTCTCTGCACTGCAAAAACTTATTCTGTTTCAACCTGCAGTTTATGGGTGCCGCCATATTGTTTTGTGACATCATGGGTCGGCCATCTTGTTTTGAGACCGTACCTTTTGCGTCCCTGTGGCTCCACGGTGAACGTCTTCCTCCCGCTGCTGACGGTGCGTCTCCTGCGTCTGATTCGCGGAGGGCGGTATGACACCTTGGCGGGATCCTGCGGACTTTCTACTTTGATCCACCTGTACTCCGTATCCTGTCCACCTGTGTTGATCATTACTTGCTCCATAATGGACTGCATCATACTACGATCTACAGAAAATAGTAAAAAAAATCATTTAGATGTAAAGATGAATCCCATGTTTTATTCATTATTGTGAATTCATTGGAGATTCTGTCTATCAATTTTCCAACTGGCTTCCATAAGGCAGTAGACATGCATATCAGCAGGAAATTGAAGAGGAAATGAGATAACCTTTTCTGGGACCTTTCACCTAACTTGCTGACAGTACTAGTGTTTCTTATAGTTATACCTAGCATGTTGTATTCCTTAGAACATGATCATGACATGAACACTATTCTACTTTGAACTTTCATGGAGGAACATACAGAACACTTAATTCAGAACACTGACTATTGTTGCATGAACAAAGAACATTTGTCATTGTTTGACCCCCTGCTTACCTATGAGTGGATTTCTCCTCAGGTCCAGTACTACAACAGTAGTGTTGGTCCTCAGGACGTCATACAGTGCTTTAGCACCCTCTGTTGAGATGCCGCATTGCTGCAGGTCCAAAGCTACAGCAAAGTAAAAAAAAAGTTGAAATCCTTCAAACACTTTTCAGTGTATAGGGCTTCAGTTCTGTGCAAGCACTAGAGCAGGAAACAAGCTAAACCATATGTAAAATATCAGCTTGTATTTTGTTGCCACTGGTAGATTGTGACAACCATGTTACATGTTATTTCCTGTCCTAAAATGACTAAAATCATCTTTACCTTTGACCCAGAGGTCATCTTTCAGTGCCTCTGCCAGGGCCATGGCTCCAAGGTCATCCATCATGGGGTTAGAGTTCATGGTGATGCGCCTGATACCTGTCATCCTGTCTAAATCTGGTCGCCTGTACCTCAAGCTGTCCTGCCAGGCTTCGTTATGTCTCTTCATTGCTTGATGCTTTAAAAAATAAAGGACAATCTCGTGACCATATTGTGACACAAATGTATTACTACAGTACTAGGGAATTGCTTCAACTTGGAAGTTTGCATTATACTAAAAACTTTTAGTAAAACTGTTCAGAAACTATTGCCATTACTAGTATTTGCAAGTGGTAGGTGCAGGTAGACATCAGAAATACCTGCACAGCTTCGATTGAAGCTGCACTAACCTGGTACATGTATTTCAAACCCAAAACACTGGGAAAACTTTTTTCTCCTTCTTCAACAAAAATGGACTATTCCTGTGATAAAATGAATGTCCAGTACCTTGATTATTTTGGCCAGAGTGTCCGCCCCACGTGCGGTCAGCTGCACTAACCTACACACGCGTTTGGTCCTTCAAACTCAAAACACTGGGAAAACCTTCTTTCCCCTTCTGTCACAAAAGTAACTGTTTCTGTGAAAATGAATGTCCAGTACCTTGATTATTTTGGCCAGAGTGTCCGCCCCACGAGCGGTCAGTCCGCAGCCAGTGAAATTCACGGACGTGATGGTGGCAGAATTCTTCACAGCCTGGCAAATAACTGGAACAGGTAAAAAATTACAGGAAGTTAGGTCAAAGGTCCTGAACATGTTACCTCAGCTCCTGTCTGCAATTTGTCTTGTCTTAGGGGAGTCAGTGGCAAAAAAATACATACTATAGCTAGTAGGCAGAGTCATTGAGAACTTTACATTCACGAAGAAAACAAATTCACAAAAACTCACAAAACACATATGATCTAAAATTTTGATGCAAATCTTTTGTATATGCTTACCTTCCAAACCATCATCCCCAATTCTGCAGTACTCCAATGATAGGTGGGCCAGTGTGGTGTTCTTTGAAATACCCTGTAAAAAGTATTTTGTACATGTTATAATCTTATACTACAGTGTTATCTCAGTGTGGCATGAGCCATCCATGTACACATGTAATTGTATCCCCTACCATATTTATGGAAAACTAATCCCTATGACGTCTCTACTTACACAGTCGTAGTCCCCCACAATATAGTTTGCTGAATATAATATTTTCCAAGGCTTATAGTTCATAAAACAATAAATATTTCTAGGATCAGTCGGAAAACTGGAAACAACATTTTTTCCTGAACCAAAACCTCAGACCCTACCTTTGCCAGATGCTCCAAGTCCCTGTTCCTCAGAGGCAAGTTAGTGACTTCCAGACATGTGAGAGATGGAGTCACAGTAAGACATTCTCTCAAGGCCTTACAGATCCTTAGAGTCAGGTCTTTGGTCCTTACAGGTGGAGCCCGCTTCTTGAAGAGGTGTCTCTTACCAACTGGAGTATCTGTGTTGAGAAAACTGTTGTTAGCACAAGTAAACAAATACTTGTGACATTTCTATCTTATTGTAGTTTAACTGCAGAACTGTATAGGTCACCAAATAAGAACCAAGCTTTTTTTTACAAGTGTCAATATGATATTATTATGGCCATGTATGTAGACTAATAGTAATACTAGTGATAATATCATTTCCACTAAAATGTGTAAAAACAGGAAAACAAACACCCAAATTTCTAGCAGCAAAACCAATCAACCAATGACAGAGGGGCTTACCTGAGGGTAAGGGTTGATAGTAGCTTCTGACAGCCACAAATGTAAGGCTCTTGTTGATTCGCAGGGTGTTGAGGAGGGGTGTAAAGTCTGGTCCCCGGAGACGGTCAGAGTTCAGGTCCAGTACCCCATCATCCAGGTGAGCTAAAAAAATACCAGAGCATCTCATAATGTACAATTCTAGACTTTTAATTTATAGTTTTAGAACCCAATATTTCAAGAAAAAACATTCTGTGTTACAATTTTTGGAACAGGGTTGTGTTCTATTTGGGTCACCCAAGGTTAATTGTAGGTGATTATTGAATTGTTTAACATTACTGGATTGCGATGCATAAAGACCTGTTTTGACTCTATTTGTGACATTATTGCATCATAAGCTGTGTGGAATGGAGCCTTCTGATTGGTCAATGTCACCCAGCTTTATGATAATTCAAGTTGACCCTGATCTTTACTAGTAGTACTAGTACACATGTACCTAAATCAATCAATGAAAAGCCGCAAAAAGGCTGTTAGGTAGTCAATGATAAACAATTCATTAGGCTAAAACAAACCAACCTTTGACAGCAGGTAGTGGGACAGTATTCTGCAGGGCGCACAGGTTGTCGTAGTACGTGCCGAAGTCATACGCTCCCCGCTGACGGACTTGTACAGTCTCAATCATGGTTGGTCGGTTGTCAACTGCTCATAACTTCCTACAAGTGTGCAATATGGAAGATACATGTATTTAGTGTTTGGAGGCAAAATTTTGTGTACTCTCTTTGATAAGTGTGGTGGGTTCTTCAACGTGCTCTCTGAACTCGGGGTCACTGATTTTACAGCCTATACCAGATTCTGGAAGGCATGTTATTTTTGGGCCTACTACTACATAATTGTACTAGTACTAGGGATTCGAACCCATATCTACAGATTTCGTATTCCTAATACATGATGTACATGTACAACAGCTATATTTTCATTATCACAACCTAATTTTTCATAACAACATAAATAATTAACAAATTATTTTACAATACAACACAATGGCATAATAATTTGGTTATATTTCTTTTGAGCATGTGGGGAGCATAATAATGAAAAAAATACATACAAAAACTTATGCCTTGCTTATTTCAAGAACTGTAAGCACAACAGTAATTTTCATGGTCTGCTGACTACATATATTTGAAAAAGTAATTTCAACGTTCAAACATAAACAAATTATCTATCAAGATTCGTCTGACTTTGCGGTGAAATTACCAATGTTACTCAACTTAACGCGCAACATAACTTGCACAAAGTATCAATGCACATATAAAGAAACACTTACAGATCATCTACGTCCAAAAATGCAACGTCTACGACGCATTTTTACACTAAAACTGAAAATATCTCTGCAGCTTCCGCGTTGGCAAGGAGTTTGTCCTCTTTTAAAATGGCGCCGCTCCCATCATGCACCGTAAAGTACATCCGTTATGCAATTTCCGGGATATCCCTCTTCAAAATAGGGGACAATTTTGAAAAGAAAAAAAAGAATAGTTTTATTGCAATAAAAACGAATGATTTACTAAAACTGTTAACTATATTATTCAGTATTAAATTTATAAGTACCAAACATATAGTTTTCTCCAAAAATGTTGTTCTGGAATGTAAATCTTGGACTAAAGAATCCCTATTTTGATGTGGACTAGTCAAGCTTATTAGTCAGCCACTCGGAGTTTTCGGTTTGTTAGATCATTCTGGAAGAATCGTGTGTTCTCGAAAGTGAAGGTTATAAAAGCAATTTTCAGCGTTACTAAGGACAGAAGGACGTCAAAACCGGACCAGAATTATCACACAGGGACCAGGTAAGGAAAACCTGACCAAAAGTACCATAAAAGTATCATATTTTATGTGAAATTGTGCGAATTGTCGGTTGCACGCCGGTTGTTTTTGCCGGCTTTCTTTCTTTTCCTTGTCTCATCGTTTCGTCATGTGTAGTTCTGCTTTTCAGGGTAGAATTTTAGGTGGAATCTTACTACAATTCTCTTGAATACTAGGAGTACAACACAGTACAAAGTAGTAGTGAGTGAAGATCACAGATTTGAAATCATTTGCCTTTTGTTGTCTTGTATGATACAGAAATTATAAAAATTCCATAATTATTTGGCCAGACTACGTCATCTATAGTAGTATAAATCCATACTCAGATTCGGAACTGCTTGGTTTGGTCGAGATTTTTCTCCCTTTAAAAAAATCGTGATCAGAATTAGGATTTTTTTTTTAGTCTCTTCAGCGTTCAGGACATTTGATCTCTATTTTTGAAGAGTGGCCTGGAGACAGGTCACGTGACACAATGGCGGCAACCTTTTTTTTACAAAGTATGATAAGATAATTTTCTAGTCATGATTATAATTATATTACATAACATACATTGTTACAATGGCATAGATAGACTTCTGTCTGCCCAATTGTTATAGCGTCATAATTTTTTTCGTATCACTCTGAACGGGTTATGCTGTCTTAGTTATGATGAAATAATGAGTAACCAGCAATATTATAGGACCTACTATTATCATCCACATGTCCATGGTTGGCTTGGTGACACAAATTCATATTCAGGTCAGGAAAGCTGTAATCTGGAAAATGTCAAGATTTTTGGCATTTTTATTGCTTTGTAAAATATGTGTAAGTACTGTGTCATCATAAAACTAACTATGGTTGAATCTGAGGCCATAAAATAAACTGATTCGTGTTTTCAACTGACATGATGCAATGTAAGTAACATCACCTTATTTTTTTATACAGCACATAATTTAGGAGCATACTACAAAAGAAAAAGCCCAGCCTGCCACCATGGTAAAGGAAATGAAGTATTACGACATCCTGGGTGTCAAACCCAGTGCCACACCGGCAGAACTGAAGAAAGCGTACCGGAAACTCGCCATGAAATACCATCCCGACAAGAACCCAGATGCAGGAGACAAGGTAACTTATTCAACTTTCAGGTTTGGGGGAACAAAAACTGTTCTGTTTTAACGGTAGTATGAATAAAATAAGTAGCACCATTTGAACCTTAGATATCATTCAAGACAGGATATGGACTTTATCCAAGAGAAATGGCACAGAAGAAGCAAATACAGCAATCAAATGATGGAAAAGGAAAGAATAATGTGTGATTTGTGTATTTCTTTTGCCAGGTACAACAATTAATGAATAAGAAAAATCTTCATGGCTTCATGCTTAGTCAATATGATTTTTTACATTCCTATTTTATTTTCTGTTTCTTGCGATATGCCAATTTAGGGATGAAATTAAAAGCTTCTTGGTTGACATGTTTAACCTTTACCTTCCAGTTCAAAGAAATTTCCTTGGCGTACGAAGTCTTGTCAGACGAGAAGAAGAGGAAAATTTACGACGAAGGCGGCGAGCAGGCGATCAAGGAAGGAGGCACGGGCGGCGGGAACTTCCACTCTCCCATGGACCTGTTTGACATGTTCTTCGGGGGAGGGCCACGGTTTGCATCGTTAGAGATTTTTTTGTTATTTTTCTCTCATGCGGCTGTCAAGTGTTCTGATTTTCACTGGAGTTTTGCTGTTTTGATGACACAGAATGTCCCAAAGCTTGCGTCTAACCCAAATCTCACAATTTTAACCCTTAAAATTTATATTAACTTGAATGAATGCATGCGCTTCATTCGTGGTCAAAACAGAAAAGAAAAACATGAAAATTGTACTAATCATGTTCCTGTTACCTTACATTTAACCAATACAATGTTGGTGCCCAATGGCAACCTGAGCCAGAAGGTTTAGGTACAAGAAATATATATATCATTCAACCTTTGTCAAAAAAGACATATTTTGCTGTAGCAGCAGAGTGCTATTGGCAAATGAACATAATAATTTTCGAATCTGCTCGAAACCAGCAAATTCTTCATTTTGAAACTTTGAAAACTCGACAGCTGTTGTGGTGTTGTAGTGGTATTGTTAAGATAAAACAAAGATATACTCTTCATGTGGCGATGTCACATGTTATAATTGTTAATTTTTATTTTAGTACATGTATGTTGATGTTTATTGAGATGGTTACTGATTTGTTTGCCATTTTAGCAACTTATATTTACATATACTTAACCTTCGGTTCCTACAATTGATTTTGGGTCATAGACTTTTAACCTGGATGTCCTGGGTTAGCATGTGTTTTTTAGTACTTCATTATGTTTGTTTATTAAAGGTTTTGATTCGTTTGCAGTGTAAGCAAGTACATAATACATTTGCTTTTACCCTTACTACAAATACAATTTGTTAACATGAACGTCTAAGTCAAGTGTCATTTCTCCGTGACAGACGGGCTTCCACACGCGAGCGTCGCGGGAAGAACGTGGTTCACCAGCTGTCTGTATCGTTGGAGGAGCTGTATAACGGTGCCACCAGGAAACTCGCTCTCCAGAAAAACGTCATCTGTGAGAAGTGCGAAGGTGTGTATTTCCTTTCACGGTTCTCAAAATACTGTAAATAACATGTTTGCGGTAGCAAAAGTTTGCAGTCTGAGAAAAATGGACATGTCACGGAACTATACATTCGCGTTGGAGGCAGGTGCAGAAAAAAGAAAGTCAGCAAATTGTTCACGGTAATGATAAATTTGTACAGAAGTGACCATGAAAACTGCAAATATAAAAGTATGAAAAAATTGTGATTTACAGTACTTTAATGGATATGACGTTTTCAAAATCATATCCAGTTGCTTGAGTAACTGCTTTTTGGCATACAGTTTAATTGTCTAGGTTAAAAAGCTATGCACTGACAAGTGATAACATGTACTCTTGTAGAGTTGACATCCAAGTATTAACAGTATGTTCTAAACACCTCTAGGTCGCGGAGGTAAGAAGGGCGCGGTGGAGAGCTGTCCCAACTGTCGCGGCACCGGTATGCAGGTTCGTATCCAGCAGCTGGGACCCGGAATGGTCCAACAGATCCAGTCCATGTGTAACGAGTGTCAGGGGCAGGGCGAGCGCATCAACCCTCGCGACCGCTGCAAGACCTGTAATGGCAGGAAGATCGTCCGAGAACGCAAGATCCTGGAGGTGCACATTGATAAAGGTGAGTTTGGCCTTTTATTGAGCAGTCAAAATGTGAACAATCCTTGAAAACTGAGCAGGGGTAACACTAACTAAAAAGTTTGAAAGTTATAGTGACAAAACGCAACACAAAGATTACTTTTTGTTTGGTGCGCATCATTTATTTCTTGGATTCTTTTGGGAGACAGGAACATTGCATGAAGGACAAACGTAGATGTGCAGTACCTTTACAAGTCACTAGGAGGCATTGCTGCATAGTCTCACCTATCCCACTGTTTCCCCAGGTATGAAGGACGGACAGAAGATCACGTTCCACGGTGAGGGCGATCAGGAGCCTGGTCTGGAGCCGGGCGACATCATCATCGTTCTGGACGAGAAGGAGCATCCCGTGTACCACCGTAACCATGGCGACCTACTGATGAAGCTGGAGATCGAGCTCGTGGAGGCGCTGTGCGGATTCCAGCGTCCAATCAAAACCCTGGATAACAGGACACTACTCATCACATCTCATCCTGGTAAGTCCTTGTTCTGTAGGTTGTACTGATGAAAGCTGTGTACCTTTTAACATACCACACTATACCCGTGTATATTGACCCTCATGGAGCAAAAATTTTCCAAAATTCTGACAGAAAATTGTTACTGGAAGGGCTGAGGGCTGATTTTTAGGGTACCTCCCAGAAAATAAAGGACTCATCTTGGGGCTTGTTTCTGCAGTTTCAAATGCTCAAACTCAAAGTATAAAATGCTGATTTAAATGTGCTAATGTGAAGCAGTTTGTGTCAATATTACCAAGATTGCCTTGTTGAGAATATTTCTAGTTTTGCTACCCTGAAACAGCATTGGATGCCTTTAAGAACACTTTAAACATTGTCAAAATTTACAGTGTTCTACTTGTTCATCTTCCCACAGGAGAGGTTATTAAGTACGGTGATGTGAAGTGTATCGTGAATGAGGGAATGCCGATGTACCGTAACCCGTTCGACAAGGGTCGTCTCATCATCCAGTTCGTGGTCAACTTCCCCCCAGACGGCTTCCTGCCAAAGGAGAGACTTCCCGAGCTAGAAGCACTCATGCCAGGTAGTAATTATCTTCAGTTATCTGTCGATTATTATTTTCTTTGTGTTTTGCTATGATCTTTCAATTTCATAGTTTGTAAGAATGGTTCAACTGTAATTTTTCCTGAGACCACATTTACTCGGTATGAATCCATAGTTTACTTTGTAACCAAATGTGCAACAGAGCCATCTAGCAATCTTTGCAAATCTGCAGCATAATCATCAGAATTAGAAGTACAGTACATGTATAATGCTTCATTCAACTCTTGTTCTCCGTATAGAGCATAAGTTGAGGGTCTTGGATTTACGGAGTAGTTGGGTGACCAGATAGGCAAGAGGGCCACCTACTGATTGTTGTAAAAATTGCATCTTTAACTCTTGCATTGTTATTCCTTCAGAGCGTGAAGAGGTCTTGGAAACAGATGACGCTGAGGTGGTGGATTTAGTCCGTATCGACCCCTCGCAGCAGCGAAACCGTTTCGCCGGAAACGCGTACGACGAGGACGACGAACACCCCCACAGAGGAGGAGTCCAGTGTGCCACCCAGTAAACAAACAAACAAACCAACAACAACAAACCAGCTGCAGCAAAATTAAATCACCCTTCTTCAAACTTATTCTTTACCAAATTACCTCATTTTAAGATTTTTAATTTTGTAGAACAACCCAGGAGGGTTCTACGGCAAAGAAAAAAACAAGGAAAATCGGTTCCCTATTTAAGAAAAAAGCAGGCAGTGTCCATAGGAGAAACAGTATCTTGCATCTTGGGAACAAGGACCCATGGAACTACCAATTCCTCATTGATTAAACAGCTTTGTCTTGTAAAATTGTATTTGAATGTGGCCGAGATTCAGCGATGCACTTTTCCAGACCTTGCAGGCATAGTATGTACTGTAAATCTTGAAATAGTTGCTGTATTTTTATGTTCACAGTTTTCACATCCAACAAATCATGAAGAACACAGATTTTCCATAAGTAACACACTGAGTGCTCACTGCAAACTAGTAACAACTAGTACCAACACAGTAAACACTCCTCTTTCCCCCTTGCCCTCAAGCTTGAATGCATTTACAGTATTTAGTGAAAGGGCTTTCACTAAACACTGTGTCAAGTACACCCAGCTTTTAGATGCGATGACTATGTGCTTGCTACAAGGGACAAGCTTGTAGCAAAGATATAAATGTATTAAAGTAAGTAAGTTTCTTAACTGTTAGCTGCTAGATGTGTGTGTCTATGTAACTGTAAAGGACGGCACCCGAAATATTTCCAAACATCAACTAGCAGTGAATTAATAAAGGCTAATACAGAATCCACCTTGTTGCACTTTTAAATCACTCCTTCAGAGGGAAGTATTGTTTTGTGTGTGTGTGTCGGTGTGTGTGTCTGTGTTTCTGAAATTCCCAATATACACAATGCAGCATTGCCATCCATCCTCAGTGCTGCAGATCTTGTCTGTGGTTGCAAAGCAGTATGGGTAATGGAGTGAAGTCAGCCATCTCTGATGCTTTGTAATGTATATGTCTCATAAGATATCAAAGTTGATTTCGAATGCTTGAACTCCAAAGCTGTTGCAGTTTCAACTGGCTGGGTAGATTATAATTGGTCATTGTTCACTATTATCCAATATAATACTAGTAATACGGCCCGATGATATACTAGTAATAAGAAGTATCCAAATAAGACCAAAATATTAGATTTATTTCATCATAATGTGAGGTATAACAGGGTTCAATTACAAAATAAACAACTATCACGGAACAATGTTTATCTGCTATGACACTTGCAATGTTAAGTTTCTGTTAAATTCACAAAGAGTACACAATGCTACTTACACATTGTCCTTTTCATCATTACAGTTCAACACTTAATGATTCTAGATGTTAAAACAATGACTTTAAGCATTAAAGTTCATTTGGTGTGGCTTAAGAGGTAACAATTCTCTCCTGGTACTGTGGAAGTGGGTTGTCCTTAGCGTACTTCTGTAGATAAGTACAGGATAGTCTCATCTTCAGGTCTTCATCCACTGCATAGTCCAGGGCAGCCTGGGAAAATATGGAAATTACTAGTAACTTGTTCCTGCCAAAGGATTTGAGAAGTAGTTGGTGGGATTGTTCAGTTGTATTCATGCATGGGGCAAAAACCTTTTGCCCACACAGGCACAGCCAGACAACTGGCTAAATGGTGGGAATGTACAGCATTTGTTTGACTGTTGTTTTTCTTGGAACCCTCTTATATTGATACAAGTATTCAGCTTACATTTCAAAAGGAACAAAGTCTGTATTCAAACTTGCAGGTGTGACATTTCTCAGCTAGTCAGTCCTATTCTATATATCACAAAGGACAGGAAGGACTTTGTTATATGTATAAGCTTACCCAGTCACTTTACTCATAAAGAAATGAATGCAGTTGAAGTGCCTTGTTACTGTTAGTTTTGGACCCATACCATAAGTTAGTTTTGGACCCAGTCATTGACATCTATGGCCATGTACGTATCTGTATAGCCTTTCAGCGTAACACACCAGCTTCGCAGGCACACGGCGCAGTGGCAGCTGGCTACATTACACCGATCAACTTGTTACACCTATCCTTTGAATATCTAACTCTAAACATTGTTTAAAGCTATCTTATGATAATGCCCCTACTGTACTTAAATGGTAACAGCGAGTCCCACCTTATAAACAGGATCCCCCCATGCAGACCCTCTTACCTTGGCTAAGTGTTTGGCCAGACCTTTCCCCCTGTAAGCCTCTGGTACTAAGGTGTGGTAGAAGTCCACATAACCCTTCCTGTACATGTCATACTGCAAAATGGCCTTCTCTGTACTGTCTGAAAAGCAACAAAAATCATATATTAACCCTCATGATCAGTATGGAGATATGAGATTAACCCATAGTCAGTGCTAAGGAAGCTTTATTCAATCTGTCAGTGTGAATAAAATAATTACATTGATTTATAGCAAGAGGCTGTGTATTTTACGATGTATGTATTAGTAGGAAGACTCCACGAAGAGCAGTGGTTGTATTGTCACTTATTGGAGGTTATTCAAATAAACAAACAAACAAGGTTCTTAATTCAGCAACCAGAGCTTTTCACATCTGACATGGAATCTATTTCAAAGGAAGTGTTATGAATTCTTAAAACAGCTGGATGTCATATCAGCTCTTACAAACTTAGTACAAGGTTTCTTGCACGCCACCTCAACAGAAAACTGATATGCCTTCAGAAAAACAAGCACATTATTTAGGTATTTATGAGCGCCCCATAATTCGTTAGCCCGCCAAAGAGGCCAAGAAATCTTTTCCACCCAACATCTGCTTGGGGATTCAGCTGTACTACCAATAGATGATCATAGAGCTAATCTCCAAGCAGATCTTTTGGTGGGGGTAAGACAGTATCAAATTGGTCAGTCTGTATCCATTTCCCCACCTTGGGTGGGGAAATTTGATACTGTCTTACCCCCACCAAAAGATCAGCTTGGAGATTACCTAGAGCGCAGTAGTGCCTAATGCAGTGCGATGTCCTGGTATGTACCTGTTTGTTTCTTCAACAGTTAAGAGTGGTAAAGAGTCCGCTAGACTCACTTTTGTCCATTTTGATGTAGAATTCCTTCTTGAGCTTGTCGTGGCCGACCACAGGCATGGCTCCGCCCTCCCCACTCGCCATCAAGCTGGCTGCAAACGCTTCAACCGTCGAAAAACGTCGCAAAATTCCTCTCCAGTCGGCTGCCCTACCAACCAGGGGTCTAACAATTGCCATTCAACGTTTTATTTTTACAGAAAATAGCCTTAAACCTGGCTATTATCTGGTAGGCGTTTCTGATTCCGAGATTACCTGTAGGTCGGTGACCTTTTACCGATATGCCAGCTGTTTCCGGTTGTCACAGCTGTTTCCGGAATTACTGTGCGCACTGCATTGTGGGTGTAACAGGTGCATTTGGGAATGCATGGGCAATTTTGATCAGGATTTTCCTATGACTTTTAAAATGAATTGTGTTTTTGTAGCTTCTTTGTTGAATAGTACAAGATCATTCCTGACTTTAATTAGTATCTACTCTTACCCACAGCAAAGGGGCCTTCCTCGATCGTCCCTTGCAGATTTAAATGGACTTTCCCCATTTTGACTGGGTACTTTTTTTAGTCGCATGCATGTCTCCAATATATAACGTTAACGTATGGCCATGTGCAAAATATGCCTACTCTTTAGATAGAGTTTCACACTTGTAGTTTAGCCCATTTTGTTACGACTAGCCAAATAATACACTTTATTGAAAAGATGAAGTTTTCAATAACTTTATTTCCGTCGTATCGAAGTTTAGTGATGCAGTTTACATTTTAAAAGGACACCAACTCGACTTAAATATTCTTCATTGCAACCGAATATGAAGAAATGCTCAAACAAAACGTCACATGCACAGTAAAACAAGTTAAAATATAACAATTTAGAAAGTAAAATATCAGCTGCATTTTAAGCAAAATTGATGGTATTTCAACAGTTTGCTTGTTTTGATAGACTAATTGCCTAATTGTACAGTGAGCATGAATTGAATATACAAGTTTAATAAAGATCACAAATAAATATAAATAAGGAAATGATCAAACGATGGAAAGAGGTAACGTTATCTATATAAAAGCAATAGAAGCAACACTTGTGATTCTCAATTCTAAACCTGTGTATCAAAAATAGTTATATATATTCAATTCCATACGCATGTCTTAACAATTTTATCATTAAACAAGATATGGTTGTCTCATTGCTTTTATTGCAAAATTAACCAAATTTTAGGAATTGCAGGATTACAAATGCTACTCAATGACGTCATTTCTATATGTCCTTATAAGGTTGCCCTTGGTTGCCCCGGGTTACGATAAGTTCTGAACAGGATCCTAGTCGTGGGGTACACCCTGCTGCGTTCTTTGACAGTCTTCCCAGCAGGCTGTACGGCAAACATGCCGACTCGCTGATTCCGTCTGAGTTGAACGTCAATCTTCTCAGCGCGTTCTCTGTACTGTCTGATCTTAGCGTTCACGTCCACTGGCGAACCTAGGAACGAGTCCATGACGTCAGAGCTCTCCTCCGTGTCGTCTGAAATCTCGTCCTCGGAGATTTTCTTTCTCCTTGCCGTAGGGAAGACTGATTTGTTACCGGGTACGCTAATGCCGTTGTAGTGAGCCTTCTTGTGACCAAAAGAGTGACCAAAATGGTGACCGTGACCGGGGGATCCGTTTGTGATGTTTGGCGGGTAGGACCCCGGGAACGAGTGGCCGTGCGTTGCCATGGCGACTCCAGGACGATTTTTGCCGTCAGACATGCCCTTGACGCCGCTGACATGGTCAGCGTTTTCTGACAGGAACTTTTCCCACTCAGACTTGTTGGTTAACCTCTTTTTGTAGGAAAGCTCTGTTTTCATGTCTGAGTGTGAACCGCCATTGTCTTTAGCAAAGTGCTCTGTTTGCCTTCGATGACTTTGAGAAAATGTTGGGCCATAGGCGCTACTTTCAGGTTCATGCGATTTACCATAAAAGGTATGGTGGTCTCCATCACCTCCCTTGACGTCACTTGAGTTCGTCACGTGATCATCACATGATTTGTACTTGTTCCCGAGTCTCTTTCTGTCCCCTCTCTCGTCCCCACTTTCCTGAAGTTCGCTTCTGAAATCAAGCGTTGGCGCCTTCGTCGTGCTCTGTTTGGATATCAGACTAACCGTGTTCTTGTCGTCTGTCAGCGTTATCTGTGGCAGGCCGTGGTCATTGTCCGCGCGGTTATGCGTTTTGGTTTTCCCGCGCTTTTCTCTGTGATGGTCTGTATCAGTATCTGAACTGCTATCCATCGCAAGTTGGCCTCTTTTATGTTTTTCAGACTGACTCAATTGTTTAGAACCAGAGCCATTTTTGTTGCCACGGCCCTTTTCGTAACCCTTTTGTCTTCTGTGATCCTCAGTACCCTCTTCCACAGTGTTATCCGTATTTTTCATTTTGTCGCTTTTCCCCCTATCTTGTCTTTTTCTCCGGCTGTTCTCTTCACTGTCTTCAAGGTCCGAGTCTGAAGTTACCAGAGCTTCCCTCCCCTTCCCCTCTCGTAGCCTAGTTTTCCCCGCCTCCTTTCTTCTACCCACTCGGTGGTCTCCATCATTGTTTGCTCCACCGTCGCTCGTTTCCCCATTATCCACTATCAACTCTCCATCAGTCTCTCTTTTAGTTCTGCGAGTATGGCGGTTTGACAAGTCGTCTTCTTGACCCCTGATCTTTCCCTCGCCCCCTTTGGTGGCCCTGTCGCCACCTGTCCCATCATTCTTTCCCCTGAAAGCTCCTTTTCTTTCTTCTTTTCTTTCTTCTTTTCTTTCTTCTTTTCTTTCTTCCTCCTTTGTTTTTTCCGACGCGGCCCCTGCCTGACCCTTATCACGTGTATTGTTCACGTGTCGGCGAGACTTTTTCTCACCTACATTTTGACGATTGGAACCTTCGTTTTCGTCGTAGTCCTCGAAATCGTCATCCGAATAAGAATCGAACCCGTCGTCTTGATGTCTTGTTGTGCGTTTGGGTTTATTTTTCTTTGCTGCTCTCCTTTTCTCGTGTTCTTCCCGACTCCTTGGTCTGTTTTGTTTCTCTCTGTCTTGTTTCTTGACAGCTTCTTCTCTACGCGTCGCGTCTTTTTGAGTTTTTGCGCTGTGTTTTCTGGCCCTTTTCTTTGACGACGTTGGTCTTTTCGCATCATCCTTTGACTGTTTTCTGTCTTTCTTATTTTCTCTCGTTTGCTTTGTCGACGCGTTCTTGCTCGTATCCTTTGGTGCCCTTCTGTCTACTTTCCTTCTTTGTTCTAACTTCCGTAGTTTACTGTCCAGCTTCAAGTTTGGAACCTTCGATTCGTCTTCGGTTTCAAAGTCTAGTTCGTCATCTTCTGTTGCATAACTGTAAAATATTGCGTTGTCTTCTACCCTTTCTCCCTTTTGCTTTTTGGTTTTCCTTGATTTTGCGGGTTCCGCTTCTTTCAAGACTACCAACTCCTTTTGCAGTTTCTTATTCTGCTCTCTTAGGGCTTTAAGCTCTTGTCTTAGTTTCTGCTCAAGTTTACTTCTTCCTTTAACGGTGTCCTTTAAGTCGCCTTTAAGTCTTTTTACCGACTTCCCGAGAGTCAAATTCTCGGCGTCTTTTTGTTTCTGTCTGTCTTTGAGTTCCCGTACTCTCTTGTCCTTTTGATAGGCGATGAGGTGGCTCAAGTTTTTGGCCGCTTCCTCTCGTTTCAAGGCCAAGTCTCTCTCCTTTTTGAATTTTTTCCAGGCCTCTTCGTCTGGTTTGCGCGGCTGTTGTGAGTTAGCGCGCTGGTTCAGCATTGTTTCCGTTCAGTGAAGTGAGGTGTTCAAGTGTTCAATTTTCCCTGTCCGCCATCTTGACCTAGAGTGTCGCCTGATTCGATTTGCTCACTCACTTCGTGTCGCTGTATGTCCGTTTACCCTCCATAGTCACATTTCTTCACGGTCTCACGAAACTATGTACTGAATGTCCTTGAGGTTTGGATTTGACCTTGACAGAAACAGCTGAGCACAGAATGGAAGTTGGTCTCTCAGTTGTTTCTCACTGTGGTATCTTTGCTTCAATGTTTGTCTCCTGAAAAATAAAAATCACAAATCAATAAAATGCATAATTTTCTACAATATTACCGACAAAACATGGCAAATACATACAGTTTTAACTGTATTTAATTGATTTTAACCAATTTTAGCTTATAAGCTTGAAAGCTAAAAGTTAGCTTAAAAGCTAAAATTTGGCTTAAAACTTTAAAAGTATTTTAGCTTAAAAGCTGGAATACTACCGTATTAGTTTAACATCTTTAAAGTTGAAGTATTCCAAAGCTATAGCACTAGCGTGCTAACGTACGTTAAACGCTTACAAACATACGATTTTCCGAAATTATTTCTTCCTATGGACATACCTGGTCGAAGAAAAACCGAACGTGAGGGACCCACGGTAAATTTTCGTTTGATTCTAACACAGAACTGTTCCCAACTTGAAGTTACAACCTGGGGGACTTTCTAATGTTATTTTTGGCAACCCTAAACTAGTAACTAAAATAGTAACTGAATTCTGTAGCGTTGTTTTGCAAACATAACACTTGATACATTATCCTTTCAAGTTCACGTGCAAACCATTGACCTAGACAGCCGTCTCACTTTTACTTCTTTCGACTATGTTGCAATTTAGCTTCTTCTATTTTACCTTACAGTCTTATATTTTAATCTTGTGATTCTCTAGACTTTCTTTTGACATTTTTAGAGTTCTGTAGTTGGTTGTAACCATAACACAACTTCATTCATGTCTCTCTGTTTAATAATAACAGAAGCGGTGTTCCGAATGAGCTGGCGAATAAGAGCCTTGTTTTCTTTTCAGTGGCGGTGTGTACCCTGAAACAATTTTGGACGTGCTTACAGTGCCGGGCGGGTGTCTTGAGTAAGGGATATCCCGCCTTGAAGTACCTGACCACAAGCAGAGCCCGCGTAAATAATACGTAAAGGATACGTATAGGGTTAAGAGACAAATCAGCCAACCAAACGTAGCTACTTTAAGTGGATTTTACGGTCGACTTCGCAGGAAAGACAATTTTGCTTCCCAAACGTCTGCTTGGAGTCCACGTAAAGAATACGTAACGGATACGTATAGGGTGAAGATAAAATTCAGACAACCAAGACTTTACGCAAACATAGTTACTTTAAGTAGATTTTACGGTCGATTTTGCATGAAAAGGAAGAGGATCGACTCATCTTATAGCTTGTAACAGAAACGAAGCGCTAGGAAAATGTAACAATTTTGCTTCCCAACATCTGCTTGGATTCCGCGTAAAGAATACGTAACGGATACGTATAGTGTGAAGAGAAAATTCAGCCAACCAAGACGTTACGCAAACATAGGAAAGTAAAGTAGATTCTACGGTGGATTTGACGTGAAAAGGAAGAGGATCGGCTAATGTTATAGAGTGTGACCGAAACGGCCAGCCAGGAAAATGTAACAATTTTGCTTTCCAACAGTGTATTATTAGCTGGTGTGCTCTACACAAGTAAAAAGGCACAATATACATATTTTTTCCTATTCTTCTCCTTGCTTTATTCTATTTTTCATTCGAATTCCGTTGTCTCCTGTGTTTCGTGACTTCAATTTTCCCCCTCAAACACAAAATCTGTTTCGTGCACATTTTCGTGAATACCCCAAGAGCGGCCTTGATATCAATTTTGTATATTCCCCTTTGTAATATCAATATACATATATAACAGACTTTTGCACCGAAAATAGGTACGCATAGATATGATGGTTTGTCTTGGTATGACGCAATGAACACTTACAATGTACCTATTTAAAATGTTTAACCAAGGTGGGGAAGTTTGAATACCCACGCGTCATATATGGACTTTAGGTCACTATAGGTAGAATTAACCTCTTCAGCGATAAATTAGTTTTATTACACAAACATCCGAGCCATTCAGCTTCAAGTGTTCTTTGTTCTAAAATGGTTCAATAAAAGTACTTCGCATTCAGAGTTGGCGTTGTGTATACACAAGAATTGGCGACCGTTTCCGCTAATTGAATGATGTTTGCAAATGATTTAAACTGCGAATGTTTCCAAGGTAATATATCCTTGAACGGTTAGTTCAGGTGCAGAAATACCCAAAAAGGCGTCAGCAAATATCGTGAAGTTCTGAGTGTATTTTCACTTAGTAAAATCAACTCAATCAACCCAAATTTACCCCTCGTTTAAACAGCATTGCGGAGAGATCAGGGGTATTTCACCGTCTTTTTTGACAAGATTTAGGCCACACCTACCTTTCTTTATGAGTTCTATTTTATCGAAACGAATTTGAGTTAAACTTGAGTCAAATTTGACCCCCAATCACGTCACGAACACTGCTGACTTGATTGGCTGGTGTTCCGCTGTCTTACAGCTGAATACGAGCCAACCTCCCGACCAACTCCCGAATGTTTTTAACATTTTGAAACATTCGGCTGGTACAGACAAATAGTAGCCGAACAACAACCGACTTTGCGCCGACCTACTCCTAACCATGGTCGGGGGACATTCGGCTAGTGTTCGGGACACCAAATGTGTGACAGAGCCTTAACTACCTGTCAATACGGTGTCTGGAATTGACAGATCTACATGACAAATGTTTTTCGCGCGTGCAGGTATGACTATAGCCCGGCAGAGGACACAGTTTACTGTCAAAACACCTACAGTTTGCGATCTGACAAGAAGAGTCAAGAGAATGACATTACGCCTCTATGTGTTTGCTATATGGGCTTTCTTGTGTCACGCAATCCTATAGTGTCCTAGGGTTAGTCTATAGTACCATCTTCTTTACATACCCAATAGTGGTTAAAAGAATCGGGTGGTGTGCCGCAAACTATGAGCCGAAAACTAATTGGGTAGAAAATTTGCTTACCGATTCGACAATACCTGTCAGAGTGTCTTTACAGAATTGTCAATGCCTTGAAGGTTCTGTGGAAGCGAGGAATGTCGTTAGAGGAGCTGTCAATGTCTTAAGAATTCTAGAGGTACGGGGAATGTCTTCGCTTGAAATGTTAATGTCTTAGCTGTTGTGAAAAATGAGGATAGGAAAAATAATCTTAGGAGGCACACAAAAAGTGGCTACAACGGAAAGATAGGCGTTATAAAGAGATAGTCAAAGGTTTAAATGTAGTATCTTTGGATGAGTATATTCTATCGATAACACACCTGTATCTGTTTATTGTATTCCCACAAAGATCCTACTTACGTATGCATACCGTATTTTGTATGTAACCTGTTCAAAAATGCCACATGGGCATACATATAGTACAGGTTTATAAGCAATAGTATTAAGAAGTTTACGGTGCCTATATACGGAGACATGTGGGGGAAATTAAATCGAGACGGCTGTACCAAAGATGAATAGGCTTATGGGTTGTTTATACGTACAAAAATCCCCGCTAAAACCTTAATCTTGGTTTTATTACAAACATGCCAAACAACGGATTTTACGCCGTTGGTACGTCGACGCAATGTTTACCACTAGGTCCACCTCTCTTGGTGGACTCGATTTCACGTGTTGACGCCGTATAAAGTTACGGGTTTTTGTTTCAAGGCATTCGCCATTCATAAATATACTCCACCTCTAACTACGCGAAAAAATCTACCCACAGTTTAAGCCTTCCCAGCGTTAACGCTAAGTACACAACCAATCAGGACGAGGTTATCTTAAACTGATTAGATTCCAACGTACCTTGCTTGGCCCGTTATCGTCTGCCTGTCCTCTGAGGTAAAAAAAAAGTCGTCTGATTTTCCTCAGGATCGTGTCGTCTGACTGGACTGTTGGTTGCTATCGCCTTGGGGGGTGGACGACTGTTGTCGGTCGGGAAATTAGTTGCCGATTTTTCATCCTGCCGTTAGGTAAGGGTTGGTGTAGCTAGGGAACGGGCTTTGGGAGGGTTGCGAAAACACCGTTGCGGCCTGCATGGCAACAGCCTAGCCTGCCACAGGGGCGCAAGTCTATGGGGAGGCTAGTGCGGACAGCGGAGGCACCCCCTCTAGGAATTATCAAGACGTACAGGCTGTTCCAATCCCGCGGTCGCTTGTCATTTCCTTAAAGTGTCTTACTTTTTTGTGTGGAAACTGGTAACCTTTCCTTAAAAAAACCCGACACATTTACTAATTTAATGATGAAATCGTATAAATATTTTTCATGAATTAGTTTTATAAAAGGACATATTTTCTATATAAAAGAAGTATCTACAATACAAATGTTACTCAAATCCATTGGAAATATATAAAAATTGTATAATTTAAGATGAAAATGTGTATTTAAATAGATTATGACATTCTATCATCATATCACGTTGTAACAAATGCCAACCTTGTAAATGCATATTTTGTCAACAAACCTACATGATTTTCTGTCTTCCTCACAAATAAAGATGCGTGAATGCAGCAGGTCACTTATAAAAAGGTCTTGGTCCAGTGCACATTTGAGGAGGCTCGAATGTCGGCCACCAATAATCTACTATGTTTACGTAGAGAAGATGAAAAGGTATCAGTTACGAGAAAGCCATTTTGTAAGCCCAAGAAGAGGTCAAATAATTGACAATACGTATCAATTACGTAATGAATGGGGCACACATATCACTGACCCATTAAAAATAGAATAGCGGCTGGCATTTTGGCCAATGCTTTTCAAAAGGGTGGATTTCTACTTGCTTTTGGCTGAAAGTATTCAGAGCCATTGGACCAGCAAGGCGTAGCATTGAAACATTGTGAGTTATTCACTCTTGTTCCTAATGGCGGGTTCTTTCTTTCCCTGATTGTGCATTCCTTCAATTGAAGCAGAGAACCGTGGCGTATATGGTTGAAAATCTATCTCGACATGATAGGGGTCGCTTATTCAATTTTAAACACCGAAATACTATGTAGTTACCTTCGTCAAGAAAGTTGTGTTTTCGTCGCCCTTTCTTTGTGGATGGATTTGTTTTGTGGACAACGTAAATAGAGAAGTTGAAGTAGAAGATGGATCTCTATGAGAGCGGGTGTCGGTAAAATACACGTAAAGGACACATTCGATTCACCTCCTAGCGTCTCTCTATCGTACTGCAGCAGAACGTCTGGTTATCCAGTTTAAGATACCAACAATCGTCTTTGGCATAAGTTAAAGACAAAAATTTTGTTCTTTATCAATTGGTGATAAAATTGATGCTTCTCGTCTTGCTATCTGGACTGAATCGGAGGGAGGGAGAGATCCAAATGGAACGGCAACACAAACAGCTCCAAGGTGCATTGACACAGCCCATCCCCGAGCACTTTTATGAGAGGACTTCCCCAAACAACGCACACAAAAACTGTGCAAATATCGCGTTTAGAACACCTGCAGACGAGAACAACTCGTTTTGTTTGCCGGTTTGTTCTGGCCGGCGATAGAAGCCGACCGTGGCGGGGTGTAGCCGCTCTTAATGCCCGACAAGTGGCGAGGGTTAGACCGTTTCACCCCGGGTTAAATCCGACAATCGCCCCTCCCCAAACACACACAACATGTATATACAGCAATCCCGCTAAAAACAACATGGCACATCGGGGTGTTCGTATCTTATAGTGATTTGATAACAAATTGACGTTAATCAAATACGATGACCTAACTAAGTATTTAATGAGGTCGACATTGTGTTAACACTGTCAATAACCATTCTGAAGTCTAAATTTGTCCACTTTATTGACTCCAAACGGTTTGAATAACAAAGAATCTTTGCATTTTCTATATATAGCAACGCAAGCCTCAGAAGGTATTTCATGCTTTATTGCTTTTAACAGATTTAATGACATTAAACGTGACTAAGCAACGGTTTATAGCGCGGTAAGTCTTTGATTGTCAGCTTAATCGATAACCTTTAATCCTAAGGTCGTGTGAATGAGATATTAAGTGCAGAATTTATTGATTTGGGTAAATATAGATCGGAGTAGGTATGCGTCTAGTTATTGGACATAACTGTTCTCACGGTGCATTGCATACTTTCATGTGCCCTGCACTTCAAAGATTGTAGCTTGGTATCCATTCTATCTGTTTGAACCTCCAAAACGTCCTATCTTTAAGAACGCCTTATAGTATGCGTAAAGGAACACATACAAAGAAAAACGGAAACTTTACGCATTGTTTAAGCTGTAATTAAAGAGCGGATTTTGTGCAGTGCAGGCCACGTGCACTCGATCTTTAATGAGGTCACGAGGTATAGGTCGATCAGACAAAAGGTATAACAGTTTAACTCATCAATCTTTACACATATTTTTTTTACACATACATGGTACAAAATACACACAAAAGAGTAATTTCTGTTTTCCGGTACTCTACTTATTTATAAAGTCTCTACATATAATTTACATCAAGGCCTATCATCCTTTACTCAACCGCGACGGGGGGCGACATAGTTTACCAGATACCTTTGACCCAGTGTTAACGTCACACTTCAAAGAAGTCATACGACAAGTCGATCACTGGGTCAGTCTACTGAGGAAGACCAAAGTGACTGGTCGTAAGCTCTGGGTGAGAACATTTCTCTTTTTGTGTTCGAACAAACGTTTTAGCTTTAATTAAACATGTAACTACCAACACAGATGGGCTTTCATGAGAGTCTCTTCTAAGTATTCTCCTCCTGGCGACTTTCTTGTCTGCCCGGTTGTGGAGCCCGCAGTCAGTGGCTCATTTTCCTGCCCTCCCCCTGTGACAGCCAGTATGTCGTCATCGCCACTCCCTCCTGCGAAGAACAACAAGAAGTCGAAGATCTCATACCTCAAAGAAAATTGTGACTTTCTTGTTTTATTCCTTATTGTGAATTTCTCGTTGATTCTTAGTATGGATTTTCTCACCGGCTTTCATAATCCAAGATACATGTATAGTAGGAAAAGAGAAGAGAGGAAATGGTCTTTGTACTATTCACTTCCTCTCGGCCTGTGGGGCCACTATATTTTAACTCCCAACTTGACCTTCCTGTCATTCTGCGGCTAAATTAATCACCCACAACTTGAAGACTTCTTGGCAAGAAACTCTCTAAAACTGATTCATGTTTGCCACGATCGTTAAAATCTAACGTCAAGGATGTTATTTTATAAACCTCCTTACTGACTTCTCATGACCCTTGACGGTCCTCATTAATATCCAAGCAGATCCTAGGATGGAAAAAGACCTATCAAATTGGCCAGGCAGTATCCATTGGCCAGGGTGGGTCCAATATACGCTAGGGCAAATGGATACTGCCTGGCCAATTTGATAGGTCCTTTTCCACCCTAGGATCTGCTTGGAGTTTAGGTCCTCATTACCTTGATGCTGACTTCGCCCCTGGGCTCCATGTTGAATACGCCCCCTAGCGACAGAAGCAGCTCGCTCGTCGAGGAAGAAATCTGGATCCTGCTTGCTGAATAGGCATGCAAAAAGTTTGGGCATCGGGTTTGACACATTCTATACTTATTCTGCATTATATATATCTTTTAAAGAAGTTGTTCGTATCTTGAATGTTTCATAGAGAAGTTTATTTCTTACCAATAATAATAAACATCATAAATGGTAGACATACATTATAGTTCAGTTCTAATCTTGTGACGGTAAAATTTCTTATAAACAGTATTGAAGATATTAGTGGTTGGGGCTGTAACACCAGCGTGAAAGAAAAACTATTTAGAGAACCACAGAACGGCCTACGTTGCGCGGTCTGCTCCAGACTTTGGGCGACGTTGACGGTGTTCCCGAAGACGTAGTACCGGGGCCGCTTGGAGCCCACAACCCCGGCTACACACGGGCCTGGGGAGACAGGGATAGAAGAAGCAATACGTGTTTCATCATTATCTCGGAAGTATTGTTTTGTGACTGCTTGTGTTTGTGTTTGTGTGTGTGTGTGTGTGTGTGCGCGCGCGTGTGTGTCTTGGTAGTTACATCCTGGGTCAAAGGTACTAGTATCTGATAAACCCTTCACTCAACCGCGACGGGGGGCGACATAGTCTACCAGATACCTTTGACCCAGTGTTGACGCCACGCTTCAAAGAAGCCACGTGACAAGTCTCACTGGGTCAGTCTACTGAGGAAGACCAGAGTGACTGATCTAAAGCTCTAAGTGAGAACCATTCTTTGTGTTTTAACTTATATAGTGACTCTATTTGTTTGACGTTAGCCAAACAAAGCCATCAAAGCTATCACTAATACAAACTCCAGAGACATAAAGACCGATGTATACCTGTATGTATGCCTATGCGGAATTCCATGGGGTAGGGGATGTGCATGGGGTGGAAGCCGCGGGCGGCTGACAGCAGGTGCAGCGCCGCGCAGGCGATCTGTTCCGCGTGTTGGTCTCCGTTCTTCGTCGGTAAACCTGAGGCCAGCATGTAGGACCCAGCTACAGGACCGGGAAAGAAAAATATATTAGAAAGGTCAAATTTGCAAGCAAACGCAGCATGTTTACCTTCGCATTGTCTCGTCTACCATTCCTACCATTCCATTGGGTAAGGATGGGTAGACCAAGGACATTATACACAGATGTATAATGTCCTTGGGTAGACGAATATTCTATATATGTTTCTTCATATTTTTTAATTGGGCGCTTTTATGAAGAATGTAAAAGTAGTGTCGATAGTTACCGAGTCAAATCTGGTTATTGGAATGGAAGAAGAAACTGTTTGTTATTGTTTCAACATCAACTTCACAATGTTAAATGATAGAATATATCAAGCAAATGAATTCTCTACAAATATAGCTTCAATATTTAGGACAGAAAATGTGTATTTACCCATAGTCTCGACTTTGTATACATCATATCGAGTGAAGACGGCTTCAAAAACCTGGTCCATGCGGTTGAGCAGATCTATGATCTTGTGTGGAGACAGGGAGGCGGTGGCCTCTGTGAAACCAACTACGTCTGAAAACATGATGGTGGCCTGGGAAATATAAAGAGGGAACGAAGTAAGGCTGTAAGTAATACTGAATTCTAATTTCTATGGATGGCGTTATTTTATGGAATTATAGTGCTGGCCTTTTGCGGCAATCATGGCACTGTACTTCGAATTCTGGAGTTCCGTGGAGCTTCGGCAGCCTGGGTGCCGTCCTCCGTAGTTACCCTACTGTCAATAGCTACTATGGAATACGGAGGATGGCAGCCAGGCCAGAGCCTCGTCGGAGTTTTTTTTTTCTTTTGAGAACAGACAAAAATCAATGCGCGCGCGGATGTCATCCATAAAACTAAATCAGTGTGGACTAACGTACAATTAAAAAGAAAGATTTTATCACTTAACAACATCATAAAGACACCATTGTCCAGTATTATCTACAAATAACATAAAGTTTCCTGTTTTCTTACTTGGTCGAAGTACTCTGCCGGCACCGTGTCTGCCTTCTTCATAGACTCCACAATGATAGACGGGAAGACGCTGTACAGCAGCTTATCTGACTTCTTCTGTTCGTCTGCCAACTTCGTCGTCACTTTCTCCAGGTTGGCTGCCACAGCCTGAGACTCACTGGCCATCTTGTACACTCCCAGGACTATGACTGGACCTATACAGGCCACCACTATCAGTACAGAGAAGCCCGTACTCAGCCGTACGTCGTTTTGCCGGAGAATGCCGTCGATGATTTCAAGGACCTCCTCTGATAGCTTCAGGTCGATCTCCTCTAAAACGTGAGTGTATGCATCCATGACTTCTAGCCATTTCGCTCCATCCTCAGCAGAGTTGCTGGAGACTTTGTTTTCCTTGATTTGTTTGCGAAGCCTGGTGAGTTCCCTCTCTTCTGGAGTGCCGTGGAACTGTTTCTTTAAGTTGTCCTCCACGGCGTGGATGTAGACGATGGCGCTCTCGAGTTGGGAGTTTCCAATGGCCAGAGTCTCGTCGTAAAAGATCAGTTCCTCTGTGGTAAACCCCTCTGGGCCTGCAAAACAGTTTCGTGATATTAATGTAATATTATATTATATTATATCATATAATATCATATCATATCATATTATTTATTATATCATATTATGTCATATTGTTGTATGATATAGTGTGATATTGTATTATATTATATTATTTATTATGATTGCATATCATATTATGATATATTATGATTTTATATTGTATGTACCATATGTATATTTTGAGTTACTTTAGTTTATTGTACTTACGTTGTCAAGTTGGATGGTTCACTTCTTTTGTTGAATAAAAAAAAATTAAAAAAAGTTTCGGATTCCTGAGCTGTTTTTGCTGATTTGTGCTGTTCATAATGGTTGAAATAGCGAGTCAGCATATTCTGTGAATGCTGAGATTCTTTTAAATGCCTTAATTTTCTTATAATTCTCATACTCAGCGTTATATTAAGTCATGAGGTCACACGCTGGTCACCTTAAAATCACACTGGATTGGTTTTAGGTCAAGGATGAAGTTCGGTAAGGTGGACAGAGTTCTCGTCATTATTTTATCTACTTAAATCCACCCAGGGAGATAATCCTACTTATCTGACTTAATCCCCAACTTGCGTGAGGTTTTAGGTCAAGGATGGAGGAAAGGTCAGCTTGTCAGCATTTTTCGTCACCATTTCATAGTTAATCCGCTCAGGATCAACCCGCCTAGAAGATAATCTGAATTATCTAGCTTAATCTCTAACTTGCATGTATGTAGAAAATTGTGCAAAAATAGCCTGAAACATGTCAAAGGCTTAATTTAGATATAATTTTTGCTGACTATGGTGACTTTTCCTCTGACAAGTCCGCGTCAAAGGAATATAATATATTTATTGTTACTAGCCAACCTATCAGTTTACCTGTATATAGAAATAAGTTGCAAGCTTGTATTTATGTGTGCGTGAAAGGTTAGACATAAGAAAACAAAGTAGCAGTACAGTTGCTCATTTCAAGCAATTAACTGGGTAGATTTTGAAAACGGTCAGGCGTTTCAGGTGGCATCCACTATATCTTGTAGAAATATCATTGTTACAGAAAGCGATAGCCCAGCCAAGTATCTGTATCTGTATAGCCGATATAGCCGCCCTTCGCCGTAACACACCAGCTTCGCAGGCACGCGGCGCGGCGGCAGCTGGCTATATTACACCGATCGACTTGTTACACCTAACCCTTGAACTTCTAACTCTAGACATTGTTTAAAGCTATCTAATGACAATGTCCCTACTATACTGTACTTGGTGACAGTGAGTTCCACTCTGCGATAGTTCTAGGAAAGAATGAATTCTTGAACACCTCGATCCTCGCTTGATAACTCTGGTACTTGAACGCGTGGCTATTTCTTGTTCTCTTCTGGGCTGGTATTAGGTACTTAGTAGTTGGGACGTCCACCAGTTTATTAGTCATTTTGTACATCATGCATAGTCTGGTCATTTTTTTTCTGTCTTCCAGTGTTTACTTTTACTTAAAAGTAGTAAAAGGTCTATCTTAGTGTTTACCTTTGTTAAAGAAAGTCCAGCCCAGGTCCAGCTCCAGGTTTGCGCTCTCGATGCTTCCCACCAGCATCTGGTAAGCCACGATGGTCGTCCAGAGGTGAGACGTGTCCGCGCGGCTCAGGGTGGCAGACATGATGTGGATCAACATCTTGTTTATGTCTGTGTAGAACTGGATCTCCTGGGAAGGCAACAATCATTGGGAACAAGAATCAGACATTTAAGACTTCCTGGAAGTATTTCCGTGACTTCCAAATTCACAGACCTCTGGGAAGTGTTTGGGGTTTATATTTGTTTGTAAATTCGAATGTATTGAAACTGTGGATTGTATGATGTACTGTATTGGAGTATTACACTACTTCCTAAATTCTTCCACATGGGCCCACGTACCCAACTCCACTTCCTCTATTCCTCCACATAGCCCCCCTCCAGCTGGGACATGCTGGTTCATTTTCAGACGTGGCCACCCTATCAATCAACTGCCAAAATCACCTCCCAATCACCTAATTGCAGCGGAAGCAATTAGAACAGAAACACAAACCCCAGGCTTAGCCACAGCCACCCGAAATGCATGTGTGTGTGCGCGCGCGCGTGTGTGCGTGTGTGTCGATGCAGCACGCAATTGTCTACATCGACACACACAGACACACACATATTCTATTGTTTAGCAAGAATATGGCTACTTTTAAGAAGGCAAACCAACATAACAAATATTTGTGCCCTGACCTCTTCAACTGAAGTCTCGTTCCGTCTGAACCACACGTCGCTTCTGTGTTGCGCCAAGTGTGCCCTGAGCTCCTCAGAAGAGTTGAAGTTGTCGGGATAGTGTTTATCATACGGCAGCCATCGACTCAACCTTCCTATAGAGTCGTCCGTTTTCTCATGTACACGAAGCAATCTGTGGATATGACAGAAAGAAAAAAAAAACGTGTAGGCATGAATGACTAAATGGACATTTCCCAATCATATTGTTCCTTAATTAAGCCTCTGTCGCACATTCAGGACTTTCCCCCGACTTTGCTCCCGACAATTCCCCAACCAATTAGCAAGGTTGGCACTGGGTTGGGAGAATAATCTATTCTAGGTCCAATTCGCTTCTCTGAATCTAAAAATATGATCAATCAGGCAGTTTTCAGGAATGAAAAGTATGGTATAAAAGACAACAAACACAAAAAGAAGTTTTTAAAATTATGATATGGGTACTATTTGTATATATGTCAGTGATATGAATTTGGAAATATGCCCTCTAGCATCTACGTACCTGTAGTATATGTCCGTGTCCCCTCCACTGCTGATGAACAGTGATGTTGCGCCCCTCTCCAGTGCCAGGTCGTGAACGATGTGGCCGATCTCTGTAGAGAACACGATCTCTTTGCCGGTCTCCTGTCCGGATCTTTTCAGTGCGGTTGACTGTTGAACATCAATATTGCGAGATGTAGTCTTTAGGTATCATTATTCCCATGATTAACTTGTTAGAGTACTTGCTTAGAACTAAGTGTGGCAAGTACTCCCAGACCAAAGAAAATAACAACAAAAATAAGACAAAAATGCATCATGTTCACCTTAATTGCTTCACATATGGTCTGCTATGTAAATTCTTATTCAAACAAATTCATACATATGGTGACAGGAGTCTAAATCTCTCCTGCTATAAACTTGCAACATGATGTAACCCTACACTCGTTACCACGGTAACAGACGTCTGGTCCTGGTCATTGACCTTATTTGTTTGGAGAAGAAGAGGAAGAAGAAACAGAGCAAAAACAGTGTTTTCCTTCGTTCTGTTAAGGTAATCATAATAAGAATACAATCCTATACCTCTTGCAGGGTTAGTCCATTTTGCACCACCATACCGAAGATGGGAAGCAGAGCCAAGAACAGGAGGACAACCAGCCGGACGAACTGTTTTCCCTTCAGTTTGGGCGGAGAGCTGTCATCGTGCGAGCTGCGCGCTTTGGCGTACAGAGCCATCGTTAAAGCCCCGTAAAACTCTCTCGGTGTGCGGCAACAAGCCTGGGCGGGAGGGCAACTCTCTCGGTACCGTAGAGATGCCGGTGAGCCTCCGATGGTTACCAGGCTTCGGATCCGCAGATGACACAAGACATCCCACCAGCATCATTATATACGACAGAAGTTATTAAATATTAATTAATAACAAATGCGTACCTGACAGGACAACTGGATTATTTCCAATATAAAACAACTAAGCCGATTATAGTTTTGACCCCAGTGAAATTAACATTAAACGACTTCTAAAAAAACCTAAAGCTTACTTGACATCAAAGATTGAAGGGGGGGTATGGGAGCTTAAAACTAACTAGGATGGTAGCCAGGATACGGCTTTATATAGAAGTGTGATCTCTGATGTAGGGTTATGACAAGTCACCAACTCATGAGAGGTCGGCTAAAATTAACCAGTAGGGCAAGGCCAGCTCAAATATGGCGGACATGGTGAGGCCAGAGGCTACGATAACTGCGCCATGTATCAAGACTGCATGAAATGTTTGAGCGAAATGCCGCCATTAACTGAAGGACCGTACGTTTACTAAGGTATGGTGTTAAGGTTTTACATGATGATTCGCAAGTGGTATAATCTGTGAAACCAATCTACCAATCTAGACAACTACTACGTTTTGTGTGTATATCTCATGAGCTCAGTACGCCTGCATTTATGCCTTTTATTGGTCTGTTATTCATTTCTGTTTATCGTGTGTCTGACGACATATATGTGATTCGGTAGTCGTCAGGGTCTGGCTGGTCGTATAGATTATTATTTAAGATATCGATGGCATTGCGGCCGCGGCTTCTAAATCATGTAAAACCTCGCAAAATTGTCAGGGGCCTTTTGTGTATCGACAGCATGTTGCCTATGGCGTTTAATACGGACGGACACATAATGTATAACGTTTAATATACGCTGGGTAGCAACACCCGTTTGTCTGTTGTGTATTTGTAGAGGGGTGGTAGGATTTATGGTTGGTGCTGATGAATTGAAACGATATTTTTGCCGTTTACATTTGATGTGACGAAAGCTAGACGTGGTTGAAGAAATATATTTTACGATGACGTGGCACTGGGGCGAGATCCAAGTGGCATGCGTGCTTGACGGTCCTAGACCAGCTCCTCGGCTCTCGGGCCTACATGGCTCCAAGAAAATTTACTATAGAATCACCTCAGTTATACCCTTGCTGTAATCGTGTTTATCTGTGTGTTTATTTTTGTTTATTAATTTGTTTTCTTTATTCCCAGGTGTATCACTAACGCAGAAATATCTAGCGCAAAAAGTTCCCAACAACCATGGAAGTTGAAGAAGTACTCGACATAGAAACACTGCTGTTCCTTGTATTTGTTCTGCTGTATGCCGTCATTTTCCTCTTCATCAGAGGACGAAAACTGAAGAACGAGAATGTCAAACTTCGCCAAGTCAATGCAGAACTGGCGGCCTATACTCAGGAGCGCCCCCTCGTGATTTCTCCAGATAAGTGCACCCATTGTGGTAGAGTGACTCCGCATACGGTGTGGATGAAACTAGAAATGCAGGACTTGAAGAAACTAAACTACCTTCTTCGCACGTGCGTCGAGGCAAGAGAACCAAAAACAAGTAATCTTCTAAACGAAATCACGTCACTACAAGACATAAACCGTTCCTTGAACACGAGTGCAAACGAGTTGTTGAACAACGAAGACGATTTGAGGGTAGAAAACATGCAGCTTTGGGCGGAGGTACTTCAACTTGAGACCACGCTGGAGGAAAAAGAGCTCGCCATTCGCAAACTGCGGATTACCGTTCGAGAGCAGAGAGAGTTAGCATCCGATTTGGAACACAGCCTGATGGTTGCACTGGACGAGCTTCATCACCAAAAGAAGCAGCGCCACAAAGAAACGAAACGAAAGACCTCACCTACTAAAACTCGCAAAGAACTAAAACAAAAAGACCCACTCTCTGTGGTACAAAATGCAAAAGAGGAGAGAGAGAAGATGGAGCAGTGTTTAGAGGACGAGAGAGACAGGCTACGATGTGCAGTTTGCCACGATGAAGACAGAAGAATCTTGCTTCTTCCGTGTAAACATTTTGTTCTGTGTGGGAAGTGTTGGGGAGGAGTGAGCCGCCGGGTCAGGCGTACCTGCCCCATCTGTAACTCCACCGTTACCGACGCCATGACCATCTTTCTGTCATGATGGTACTGTAGCGCCACCGGCGGAATCTGTGGGAATAACACCCAGGTGACTACGTCCAATCAACACATATGACGTTACAGGTTGCGATAGTTTTGGTCTCATTGTATTCATACGTACATATACGCATTTGTATGTGGCAGAATATTATATCATTACTAGCAAGATTATGTCTAGCATAATTGTTTAAATGTATACATGTACATGTAACATTGCAAGTTCATAACAGTATATGCACAGCATATGCTTCGGAGTTTCATACATATTGTGTAATATGAGACGGATATTAAAAGCGCAATGAATAGGATATGGTCCATTGCACTTTTTGTTCGACAGAACGTATTGGTCCAGGCTTGCAACATACGTGTATGTGCACAACAACACGTCCCTGACATGCCATTACCTTACAGTGGCTAATTACGCCACAGCCAGTATTGTGTTCTCCCAACTCCAGTCGCTATCTCATTAAACCACCATACATTATTAATGCATCTTTGCAACATACCTATATAGTCTCGGTACCAGGCTGCGTGGTGGACTTATTTTTGGTTTAGCATGTACTGTTTTCTACTTGTATATCCGTTTCCTTGTTGTGACAGGCTTTTAAAACCCACTGACAACCAGAAAATTGATAGACAATGAGAAAAATGGCATAATAAAAGGCCCCCGAAAAGCCCACCAAAAAGCCTGCTATGAGGCTATACTTATATGGGTGCGGCTCATCACATGATACATAGCTACTCACATGATAAACAGAGAACAAAATAACAGTGCACAGTGACGTGTTGCTTTTCAAGAGCTGCTTCTATGAGTTTGATGTCAGGAACCATGGCCATGGGCTTCGAAAATTAGTTCAGAAAGTTTTTCTTGGTTTAACCTCGTCGTCGTCCAAGAACGAAGTTGGTGGAAGAAGAAAGTTGGAAGACGGTGTCTTGTCTAACTGCTGTCGTCAAGGGAATAGAGGTATCTACATTATATTTGCTTATTACATGTTCTTGATATTATTGTATGTATTATCATTATATCTATGTTACATGTACCTGCAAATAGCCTTCGGGCATGTATAATACATTGTGTTTGGGGCAATTTGGACAATAAACTTACCATCATTAACCGTTCTCGGCTATTTGAAGCACAACTTCGGTTCCCAGTGAATTCAGGGCACCTAAAATTTTTAATAAGTGTGGTGGGTTCTTTGACGTGCTCGAGGTGTGGCTCTAGACCTCCAACATGTTTAAGACAAGGCCAAACATCACCACAGGAGTGCAGCATGAAAACCTTGGGTCGAGTCATTGACCCCCAAATGATTTATTGATATTTTCCTTGCGACCCACCCAAACACCAGTGCCACGTATACTTACCAATGATGGGCGGGGAAGAATTACCGTTAGATACATTAGAAGCACTAAGCTTTCTACCGTAAAATCTGTCTATGGTGGCCACTCAAGGGACTTGAAGAAAATAGTCACAGTAGACAAGTGGTCACTATAGACAGAATTCCTATTTTTTTAGGTTTAATGAGAAAAAATAATCGAATGTACCACCAAACAATGGCTTAGTGGTCCTTATGCATAATTGGTCACTAGTAATGGTTTGACAATGCCGAATATCGCCATAAAGACGGATTTAATATAGTAAATTAAAGTACAAAATAGTAAATTAAAATACAAATAATTTGTAGTTCTAAAAACATCCGTAGAGTATCGGATATTTTACCAAAGAGAACGATAGTCTTGCATTTTACAGAGAAAGAAAATCACTTTCATATTTCTGTATTCTGACATTTTCTCTTTTTTCTTCCTCGAGTTTTTGTAAGATTCGGCCAGGCCGCTTGAACTTGACCTCCAACATGCCCAGGAGAGGAAGTCTGCGCGACAGGAGACCCAAGAGAACCACCAGGCGGCGCTATTACCAACCAGAGTTACCCTTAAGCTTTCCAACATACCTCACCGGCGTGCTCTCTGATTGGCTGTCGCTATCGGGTATCCTCTGCGGTACTATTTTATGCTCTGCTATGTATACGCACAGCGACGTTGTTAACACTCGCGCTAAGTTGGAAACCATAGATTTGTTGATGATTTTTATTTTGAATACGCCCTACGGATTTGCGATTGCAACAGTCTCACTGATAGCGTGGAACATGCTGTTGGAAACGGTTGATTCTACGTTGACTCTGATTCTTGTTGGAGGTGACAATCTACTGCTGAAACTACCGCAATTTTTACGAGGGGTTTCGAAAATGATGATGAACCTGGTACTTGCTGTAATGATGATGGTGTACTGTGTGCTACAGTTGGTGTTGCTGGTACGTCCCAAACGCGAAGAAAACGACGAAGGGCCTCACAATCAACCCGAAGAAACCGACGACAGTGTTGATCTTGAGATCGAAAGTCAGAAAGGATTTCATCAGGAAAAACGACAGAAAAATTCGTCGAAATCTGCGAACAAATCGCCGAGAAAACAGAAGGGAAAATCACTCGTGAAAGCATCCAAATGTGAAGATAGCAAGGAAATCGAATCGGAGTCGTATTGGCAAAGCGAGACAGAAATCTTCAATTTTCTGAACATGGTCGTCGAAGATCAGGACTTTTTATCAGAAACAAAGAAACTGTTCGCGGAAAATAAGTCATACAAGACCAAATTGGACGTGGAGAAAGACCGCCTGTTATGCACGGTCTGCCACGAGGAAGAGAGGAAGTTGGTTATCATTCCCTGCATGCACTTCTTCATGTGCAAGTTATGCTCTGAGAAACTGAGTCTGATTGGCAGAAAGTGCCCGTACTGTGACCGGGTAGCAGAGGACATCAAAGAGGTTTTCGTCGTATAACCTTGTGTGCTAACTATTATTATATACAGAATGCTTTTAGGCATTTCTTCAATTATTTGTTACATTCTATCTAAATTGTCTAACTACGTCCATGTATGTAGTTAGGGACATCTATCTACATATGATGATAATAATTTTATACGAATAGTTTTGTTGTGATTCATATTTCTGCAGCTGCATGTGATCGTATGCTTAAATCTATTATATGTTTGTGCACACGTGACTATGACGTCAGTATTGTCGGCCATGTTGGATGCTTAAACCCATAAGTTACCAGGTAAACTTGGCAGTCCGACCGTTGGGCTCATCCAAGTTCACCAATCAGCAGGCTACAATCACCGATACAGTCAACGAAATAGAACACATTTGCATGTTTAATGTCATAAAAAGTTTGTCAATATGTACATGTAGGGTTATGTATTATATAATGCTTTTTAGTTGTCACATTGTAAAAAGTATGCAGAAACACTCTACACAATACACATCAACACTGACCGGCACTGGTATAAAATGAATATAATATAAAATTCAACCGATACGAAACTGTCAAAACATAAAGTTACATTTTCTCATTAAACATCTATCAACATGTATGTTATATCTAAACATATGTACATTAAATAAGGTTGTTATCATAACAACAAACGTTTAAGGTTATTACAATAAACACACTATCTCAGACATTCCTCTTTTACTATAAATACTACATATGCTGACAGTAAACGTTAAACAAGTATACATATAGTGGACAGTACCTGAAAATAGCATTAAATACATGATGAAAAAAAGGGAAAAAAAATGTAGTTGCCATTTCGGCAGACTATCAGCTAGCTATAGCAACTATCCCCATTTTACATGTACTTCCAAACTCCAGATCCAACGCAACCTTTTGCATACATATCTATGTATAACTTGACCGTGATATAGTTCTTTATCATATGTACCTTTTCACTTTCTTCATTAATGTATTTTTCAATCCCCATACACTATTTTAACACATTCCTATAGTGGTATCTGCCTGGATAATTTGATAGATTGACAATATATGTGCTGCCGAGTTCAGAAGTATTGTTTTGGGTGGCTGAGTTGTGTGCTTGTGTCTCTACGTGTACTAAATAGCTTCGGTTGCATGGTGGGTGGGACGTGATTTTGACAGTTGATTGAGGAAAGTCAAGCCTGAAGGTGACCCAGCAGCGAGCCGGGTGGGAGTAAGTGGATGGTATGTGGAGGAATTCAGGAAGTGGTGTAATACCCGATTAAATTACATCATACAATCCCGTCCACATTCCCAATACATTCACAAAGACCCAAAACACTTCCCGGAAGTCTGTGAACTTGAAGGTTATGAACACCTATTTCCAGGAAATTTCCGATGTCTTGTTGTCAGACGGTTTTTTCAGACACACGAAATGGCGCCATTTCGATAGGAACTTTTCCCCGCGAAACAGGAGTCAGACGACACTATGGTCCCACAGGCGCCCCCTCCCCCATCATCCACTTCGGCAATGGTCTCCAGCACGTTCACGTTCCTGTCTGCCGTGGCGTCGCGGAACGATACAGTCAAAGACTTCCGTGAAGAGGCGCTCATCGGCGGAGGGGTTCCGTTGAGCAAGTGACTGTTGTCTTGTATCGTTGCATTATCTGAGAAGAAAAGAAAGAGTACAATTATTTTAACAATCTATATACCGGGCAACGCATGGGTAACTATACAAAGGCCTGAGCTGCCATATATTCTCAACCATTCAAGTTTAAATATAAGAATTGTAGTCTTTTTAACAGCTAAAACAAGTAAAATCATTTTAATGTCTATACCATGTATACACTATGCAGTAAGTGAAAATTGATGTGCAGAAGCATGATGAAAGTTACACTAAACCATTGTCTTACCTATTGTGACGTATTCGTTGCCCTTTTTTCTTGTTGTTCGCTGGTAGCTACAAGAGTTAAGAGAAATCTTGATTTAATAAAATAAAATAACTTTTCAAAATATAAAATATAAACAATTGTTCATCAGATGTTTTGGAATAGGAAGCAAAGGAAGGTAAAAACTTTAGTTTAGTGGCATTTTTATTTTTGGTCGGAATTTTTTTTTTATTTGCCCGCGCGCACTAGTTTGGGGTCTTCAGAGGAAGTCATCCATAAAATTAAGACGGTGTGGCCTTAAGGAAAATAAAGAAAATAGTCCTTACAACACAGAAGAGATGCTTTCCATCCGCCTCTGCCTCTCTTCCTTCAGCTTACGGCGGAAGAACACAATAACAGCGACCAGCACTATCATGAGGACGAACACCAGCAGAAAACCGCCGATCAATGCGCCGTTGGCCGTCAGCTGCGCGCCAAGCGCCAGGTCTTTGTTCGAATCGGAGGTCGCGAACGACGGGTTAGCTGCGTTGTAAAAAAAAGTATATTTGTTATCAGTCATCGGTACCGGCAGAGAAGGCATGACCTGCGATGTCCCCTGGCATTTGGCCAGGCACAACGGATCACCCCTACTCTTCTTCTGATCGATGTGTGCTGGGTTCTTTAACGTGCAGAGGTTTCAAGCCTGATTCTCCTCGTAAGGTTGGGTGAGTACAATGTATTTACTTTTATATTCCCCACCCTCCCCATACGAGCGATCGCCATGACGTCACGGTAGGCGTGATTTGCCTACCAATAATTTGCATATGTGTTCAAATAGTTTGCATGTGTACCAAGGTTGTGCTGACATGTCATGAGTGCCATCTAGTGGAAAAGACTCGAACTGCAGACGCGTCCTTACCGTAGCAGGCTCCCGTGCGTCTGTCGCACGACGTGCCGCTGTGACAGTGGTGACATCTGTACCTGCAGTTCACACCGTAAAACCCTTCAGGACAGGCTGAAATAAAGAAAAAATAACACCGTTTGGCATCAAAACAGAACGACAGATAACCAACCAATATCGTAGACTGCATTGATGATTTCAAGAGAAAGAGAGAGCGTGCGCAAGAAAGAAAGGGAGAGAGAAAGAGAGAAAGAAGGAAAGAAATCGACTTTTAGGCCCCATCCTAAATGACGATTACAGTCCATCGCATCGCATCGCTTTAACTCCTACCGCGAAATATCTCATCTAGGGAAGTCTCGCGTAGAGGCGTAGGTCACCACAGGCGGGTCACAATAGGCGGTCACCACAGGCGGACTGTACCATTTCATGTGCGGGGGAGGGGCATTATCTGAAATTCAATGCCGTGTCCTGTTACACACATTTTTGCATACCCGCTGCCCCTCTATTACATTACAAAGCAAAGAGACATAATTTCTTTTCTAAGTATTTTTGGGAGCATTTTGTAAATTACGTAAATTATGATCAGGATTACAATGGGGCATTTGCAATGTGTGAAGCTATCCTTGTCTAGCTATCCTGCACACAATCTACAATTCCCAATCATTAGTTTTTAATGAATGTGCTTGATTAGGCTAAAGAGCACTGCCTCTTGTCAGAATGGGAGACGGTCACGAGAGGCGGAAGATTAAAGCTT